CCGCCCTCGTGCACGCGCATCACAATGGCCATTGAAATGGGAGTTGTTGGTACGTATAGGATATTTCGTATTTCCATATCATGTAGCAGTGGTGCACAGCAAGACGAGTTGCGATGTTGGAGATGTCAATAGTGATAGCCCAAGGCGGCACAAAATTGGGAGTGCCTCTTGGCTTGGCGCGGGCATGGCGACATCGTGTCGAGCAACGTCATGAGCCGGAACGCAACTATCTCAACTCAACTATCAGATGATGATTTCCAGGCTAGCTTCTCTTTCTGAGCGGTTCTAGAACCCGCTCTTATTGATATGTACAGCGCTGCCTTCGTCAGTTTACATTCACGCTGCTGTCTTGCTGGGTGCAGATCGCCAACACATGTCAGATCTTCCCGAGCCTGTCTAGGGCTCCCGAATCGATCTTCACAAGCTGCGCCACAACGTCATTGATCCCTTTCTTTACCATCAATGTGTCGCTCGTCCCGTGACAAATGCAAATTCCCAGATATCAATGATGGCTGCACCTTACGGTCAGCATGGATGCATACAAGCGGTCTCCTACCCTGCATGCTGACTCCCTGCTGCAGGGTCTCTTTTCACCTTCTTCTCGAATCACTCTGAATACCAAACATAATCGCCATGAGATCTGATGAACTTACTACTGGGGCTACGGAGTCAGGCTCATCCATCCAAGTTTCCCTCCGCAATGACCGTACTCTTCTCATGTTCGTCGTCCAGTCACTGGTCAGACTGATGCGTTCTCAGCTTGGGAATCGCACGCCAAAGCACGAGGATGGCTCCATCCGGCTCAACCCGTCCAAGTCGAAGCTGAGCGGATGCACACTCCGCGAACGCACTGTTTGCGACATGTACATATACGACATGGTACCCCCGAACAGACCTGTAAAGCCCTGCAAAAAGCGGATATATTACTTTGCAGGAGGCAGCTGGCAGGAACCGCCCTCACCACAACACTACAAGTTATGCGCAAAGATGGCCAAAGACATGCCCGACACAACCATCTCCATTGTCTCAACTCCGCTTGCGCCCAACAATCCCGCGCCAAGTTCGTTTCCCATGTGCCTGAAGACATATCGCGTTCTCATGGCAGAAGCCGAGAAAGCCGGAGAAAGGGTCATTCTCGCGGGCGACTCATCCGGCGCAAACATCGCTCTATGCCTTGTCCTCGAGGCTCTAAGAGAAGACAGCGAGCAACAAGAAACGAACCCGCATCCTATAGCCATCATGACCGTATGCGCCTCAATCGACCTGACCCGCAAAAACCCAGACATCGATAAGATTGCGCCCAAGGACCCTCTTCTTACACCTAAAACCATCAGAGAAACGGCAAAAGCCTGGCGCGGTGACTGGGATGCTGCCGATCGCCGCATCTCTCCTATTAATGCTGATGTCTCGCTGTTGGCTAAGAGGAACATCAAGGTCCATGGTATCACTGCTGGCCACGATGTCTTGAGCCCCGATGGTATCATACTGCGTGAGAAATGCGCGAAAGCAGGCGTCAAAGGAGAGTGGGTTCATTGGGAGAAGCAGATGCATTGCTTTGTACTCACCATGCCGTATGGACTGAAGGAAGCGAAGAATGCAGTCCAGTGGATCATTGATGTCTTGAATAGGGATTGATTGTAGGATTCGTGTTACCCTTCTCGTTGCAGATACCCTTTGGCTTTTGTGAATGGTGTTGTAGAATAGTACTTTTGGATAAAAGGATTTCACTATAAATAAAGTTTCATCATTCCATGGGTTGGTTGATTTACGAAAGCCGCTCCTCGCCGATGCAACTCACATGTTCTTGTGAGATGCGATCTCATATACAACCAAGAATGTATGGCGGAAAGTGTTTCTCGGGCAAGCGCGGTTAGTCAAATCGAAGAAGACAGTGAAAAGTCATTTGTCAAGACACTGATTGGTCACTACAGCAGAGGTTGTTTTCCCCGCAGGGAGAGTGTATTTGTTGAGTTCCGGCGAGGGTGTAGTAAAGGGTTTCACAAATACTCCCGGTGTCACATAATCCCTTTGATGGGAGACCTGGAGCAGGTTGTCCGGTTGTCGGCAGCTCTAGTGGGTGGTAAGCTCTGCGGAGACACGAGTGGCTGCTTAATTTTGACTTGTGCAGTGTAAGTAGACGGACGACTGGTAGCACTCCGATAGTAGAGTAGCTATTCATGCACTAAATCATATCGAAACAAACAAGGAAAAGGTGATTGGACATGCATCTGGCTACTGTCTGGGCTTGAGTGGAGAGAATGCGATGTCATTGTACTGTGGACGGGCCGATCCCCACCAGGTGTACTATCTGCTATGTGGGGTGTGCAATAATGACATTGATTCATAGCTACAACGCGGGCGGCCTGAACCTTGGTGTCGTGGTCATCAGATATATATATGTTATCATATATGTACTTAAGGCGCACATCTGGTGTCATTTTAAATCTAGTAATCGTATGTTGGGAACTCATTCTGTCCCGAATGAGTTTTCGAGTCAAGTCCATTTGGAAATGCATGATAGGCGGGGTGTGTATGCAAGTGAAGATACTCACCAGCGGCGATGGCGCTAGCACAGGCATGTAGCATAGCGGGTGAAAGCGGTTGTGACGGGGAGAGCCGGCAGCGACGCTAGCGACGAGCAAATTACTGCGTCCCATCCAAGAAGACCGATGGATTCTGCATGCCCCTGCATGGCACGGTCTCTTTTGGAGCGGTGGGTCCCCACGCTTAACATACCACATCCGGCCATATAGGGCTGAGCGAAATGTTGAGGTACGCTCCGATGCCCACCCAAAAACCATGGTCGGTTCTGCCGACTTCCTACTTTTTCTAAGTCGCTTGAGCCTCATGCTACTCAGCACCAGAGTCGACACTGACGCACAGCACCATGAATGCACCCTTTTATGTATCTTGTTTACCATTATAGCTATTACTAAATTGTCTCTTATCACTTTTAAGTCATTTAATTTGTGATTTTCTTCTATTTTCAGATGTATGCTCCTATTCTCTCCCAATGCCTCACGTGCATATGAATCCTTGTTTCTGCAAGATGCCTTTCCGGGTTCGCTCCTCACAATGAGCACTGGGCACAGATTACAAGGTGGCAAGCCACTTGCTGTCTCTCTCCCTTCTTGCACCTAATCTTGAACAATCACCCACTGCCCCTCTCTGCAGTCTATTTCATCTTTACCCTTCTTTATACGATATCCTCATTCTCTCCAATGGCAACTACACGCATGCTCAGCAGTACTTCCCCTCTCACCAGTTTGCTTATTCTAGCTGACGACTGACATCAAGTTGCTGCCCATCGCCTGGCCTTAGTTCCCAGAACACCACCAGTGCTATCACTTCTACCAGCTACATGTGTGAATGGTAGGCGCCACCAGAGCCAGGGCCCCAAGAATACCCGGTCCAAGAGTCTCCTCTCAACAATGACCCCACTGCCTTCACAGGCAGGGCCGAGCAATGCAGTCGAATATGTCTTGTAAGTCCACCCTCACACCTGGCTCGACTCGATCACCCAGGAGACTGACACACACACCCAAGAACAACGTTCGATCAGATTGCCAACTGGGCACGGCAAGGCTCCGTCTGGCCCCTCACCTTTGCCCTAGCATGTTGCGGCATCGAGATGATGCACTGCTCCATGCCACGCTATGACCAGGACCGCCTGGGCATCATCTTCCGAGCCTCGCCACGCCAGGCCGACATCATGATCGTCGCCGGTACCGTCACCAACAAGATGGCTTCTGCTGTCCGGCTTTGCTACGACCAGATGCCAGATCCCAAATGGGTTATAAGCATGGGCAGCTGTGCCAATGGCGGGGGTTACTATCACTACAGCTACAGTGTGCTTCGCGGTGTCGATCGTATTTTGCCAGTGGACATTTACATCCCTGGTTGTCCGCCTACCGCTGAGGCTCTTCTTTATGGGATTTTTCAGCTGCAGAAGAAGATGAGACAGCAGAAGGTGACGAGGATGTGGTATCGCAAGTGACACTGTGGTACTGTTGCCACGTTGCCCAATCTCATGCGGTACGACACTTGGTGGCTACTCCCTCTCCAAACGCATCTAGTTCTTCTTCGCCATGTCTTATCATAGAAGCTTTCATAGTAAGACCACTCGAATTGAGACTCGAATAGTCAAAGATACCATGTGTCACATCCCCGAAGATTGTTTAACGGTGAGGCTGCTCATCTCCTGACGTGCCTCCAGTCGTGAATGCATCGTTCTTTGATTCGTCACTCGATATAGTCCCGTACAACACAGGTACCACCGTCAGCACTAATCATGACGTATGCACTTGGAGTCCTCTCATCAGTCAGTGTAACAGTGGCATAGTCAGCTCCAGACCGGACTTTAACACGAAATACCTTTCTTGTATGACGCGCAGACGTCATGCACACCATACTACCCACTAGCAGTTACATTGGCTGATCCGATGACTTTTGCTTACGAGTTTGGATTGCGAAAGCTTACTTAAAGTGTTTTTACCCTTCCGATGCGGACGCAGCCAAAGGCTGCTGCATTACTTACTCCTGAGAATGCGCGAGAGTAGTCGAGTTTCGGTGAAGCAACGGTTTTCAGTATGAGTGATAATGTGTACCAAAAGCAGCTTGGCTTGCAATGAGTACATAGTTTTGGCGTAAGACTTGCTAAATAAATTGGTGGCTCAGCTGAACAGCTAGCCATGATACAAGGTAAAACGACATCAGCCACTAATTGTAATGATCTCTCTGACCATATCAAAATTGCCAAATACGACTCTTTCATTCCAAACAATGCCAACAAGACTAGTAATTGAATTATAGGGATGCGACGCCTTCCCAGCAGATCTATAGTAACTTGATTTCGCCCTACGACTGGAGTATCCAAAAGAAATGAGCTATGGAGCCAACTTTCTCAAGTTTAGTAATATAACAGTTTCGTTCGTGTAACTTCTTGAAGCACGGACAACAGAGGAAAGCATGCATGCTGCATCAAAAGACCAAAAAGAGGCCTAAAGTTTCGACTTGATATCTGGTTTCCGTCGTGGTAATGGCGTTTCGTCAACTATTGGCTTTTCGACAAGAGGCGTCAGATACTGCTCCAGGGTATCTCGAACCGCACTAAACCGGAATGGCTTCTGGAGAATCGTAGTAACACCCGCGTCGAAAGCTTTCTCCTTGCTTGTTAACGACACATTGACCAGCAAAGCGCATATTGGACCTTGAAATCCCATCTCGCGAATCAGAACCGTGGCTTCGCGGCAACTGAAGAACGGCATTCGCTCATCCATGAATATAAAGTCGAAAGGTTGGTAGATCTCCATCGACTCTCGAACAGCGTCCACCGTAGCTTGGCCATTTGAAGCTGTGGCGTTATTATGGATCCCTAGTTTCCCAAGGAACTTCACCATGATTTTTTGGTTCATCCAGTTATCCCCTGCTACTAAGATTTTACAGTGTGCAAACTGGTCTAGTGGCTCAGGGCAAGAGGCTGGCCGTTCTTCATAGGGATCGCGCTTGGGGGGCATGTTGATTAGTGGAGTTTCGTCCTCTCCAATATCACTGAGATAAATAGGTCCGATCTGGAGGCTTGGATCCCTCGGAAAGCGGATAGGATGTACCCCTCTGCGCAGCAGATCCCGGGTAAGGCTAGAGACAGGTAGGTTTTCAAACGATTTATCGTGCTCAAGACCCACAGAGCGAGTTTCGACAGGAGAATCTTGGTATGATTTTCTGCATTCTTGAGTGGTTTGAGATATGTCCAAAGGCTGATGCACCGTGACAGTGCTGCAGCTTCCTGATGTCTGCATGGGACTACGCATTTCGTGGAGAACATTTGCTACTGGTAGCTCGTTTAGCAGAAAGTTTCCATAGATTTTCAAGGGCCACATACACTCTTCTGCAATCTCACAGAGTTGTTGAAGCTGAGCAAGAGTGTCCTGAAGGCGGGGGCCGCCTTCTGCTGTGGTGGAAGTAAAGACGTCATCGTCGAGACCGCGAGAAGCTACGAACGTAGAAAACTCATTGATGCTGATATGCAGTGCCTGGAGAGAATTCCGAACCTGTTGAGGAAGCATTTTTCTCTCGCGCCTTGTCGAAGACGGATTGCTCGGTTTTATTAACAATTTTCGTCCTGTTGGTTGCGCAATGGGCTGGCGATGGTTGCCTGTTTTGCCAAGACTCTGCTACTACGGATTCAGCTTCAGCTTCAGCTTCTACTTCTCGCCAGCATTCTGCTCATTCATCAATAGCATCATGATTGCGCTCTATAAATGGAACTTGTCTGGTTGGACCTCAATTTATAGCATCAGATACTATGGCTACCCACTTCGTGTCAACTTCATCGACGGCCGGAGGGTTGTATTCTCCGAGAATTTTACCCGTCAGAGGCATGGCTTTTTTTTCTGCGCTGACCTTGAAACCCGCATATACTTAGTTCAGTCGATTTGAAGACTGCTCAAAGAGACCTCTAGATGTTACAGTCGGATCTAGTACAATTTCGTCTTTGATATCGTCAAGCAAGCGTTTGATTTCGACATTTCAACGCCGGGAATGTCACCAATTCCAACACGACCAACAACCATCCGAGTGGACGAGTAGGCGATTGCGCGGATAGTCAACACTGATGTTTTGACGATGCCTTTGATATTAGCCTTTTTCTCTAAGTCGGCACTGAAGGCGAACCCTTATTTTGCACTACTACACTTCGGGCAGGTGTATAGCAAAAGGCAATAGCCCCCCGTCTCTCATTCACGAAAACCAACTCTTATACCTGATACCAGTCATCCTATTCTCATTCCCACACAGTGCTATTAACACATATATGTAGTAAATGTAAAGGGTTCAAACCATCGCGCCAAGTCAATTCACAAATATAGACCCCAGTAATTTCTGATTTTGTTAGCTAAGCAGCGTAGGCAACTCGCCGGTCAAGGACTATTGTCCGCACATTTTGTAACGGTAAGGGGGTAATTAAGCGTTCATCGTAGCGGCGCACAGGCGAAAATTGGCGAAGATCTAATCCATGGAACCCCTGACGCTAATGTACGACTAGTCAAGTCCACGATTCTGGAAGCGCCAGGCCCGTCACAGCCAGCCACCAATGCTGTAAGCATGGGTAAGGGGCTCCGCCGAACAAGCTTGCTCGCGTGCCCCATTATCGTGTTCAAGCAGATTTGGACATTCATATGGTGTACCCTTTACGGGGACCAAGCCGGAGGACTTCAGTGTTGATTCTTGATCGGTATCCGCTCTATTCAAGATGTACTTTCCTAGGTCTATCTTTCACCTTGCTGCCGTGTCTTTCATGCTCCTTGCCTCGATCGTTTTGTTTCTCTCTTTTAACACTGGATCGGGTGCGTTTGAGCACACAGTAGGCTCGAGACGGATGGGATTTGGTAGTTCAAGAGCTCCCCCGCCAGGCATCAATACTGCTCAATTGAGGGTAGCCAGGGTAGAGCCCGCTGATGATCCCATCTGGGATACGCAAAACAGTACTTTGGGTGTAAGAAACATGTGTGCAAGCAATCGCGACTCAGTCTAACACCAAGCGTAGTTCCAAAAGATCTATGCAATTTCCATGGCACATCGTCCCGATAAGCGGGATTATCTTGCCCTCATGGGTTTAGTATCGCATCTCGATATAGAATTTGTAGATGGTGTAAATGCATCGTTGATGCACCCGAAAGCATTTCCAGCTGTATGAAGATCTTGTAATAAACGTTTTGTTTGATATCTAACACTATGCAGTTCTGGAGAGGTGAAGAAGGCCTCGGAGCGTACGGTTGTTGGCGCGCGCACCTAAACGTCTATCAAAAGTAAATACAGCTCTTCACTTTATGTACATCTTTCTCACAACTTTCAGGATGGTGCAAAATCAAATTCAATCAGCTCTCATCATCGAAGATGATGCAGACTGGGACGTATTGCTGAAATCACAGATGCTTTCCTTCGCCCGTGGGGTTCGGGCCATTCAAGATAGCACCTTGCCTCTACACTCCCCTTACGGAGACTCATGGAATTTACTCACCCTCGGCCATCTCGGAGTGAACAACAAACCGCATAAGTCTGGGAAATACTACATTACTCATAATGATCCGACGGTAATACCGGAATCACGGCGTATACTTGGTCGAAAACCGGATCTGAGCGCGGAAAAGTTAAAGGGAGAGCACACACGAATCGTCATGGAGGTCAATAAGCTGACTGGTACTGGTGCCTACGCATTATCCATCCGTGGAGCGGCTAGACTGTTGTATGACCAGGCACTGCTACCGAATGCCCAGGCCATTGATGTCGCGATACAAAGACTATGCCGTTACGATGGCAACTGGCCCGAACCTTTTTGCCTGGGAGCATACCCCATGATATTCGGACTGTATCGTGGCATTGGAACTTTGGATAGGGACTCTGATCGTAAAGTCGAAGATGACGAGGAGAAGTCTGGCTATAGTGGACAAAGAGGCAAGCTTATGCGAAAGAAAGGTGAGAGTAGGTTTACAGTGTTTCCAGTGAGTTTGAATATGAAGGGGTTATTGCAGCAGGAGACCAAGTTTCAGGCGGTCGACCCTGCTCAGGATATGATGGCAGAGATGGATGTGAGCACATTTGAATTTCCGGTTGGAGAGGTGGTAACTGTGGAGCCAGAAGAGTTTGGAACACAACCGGTGACTTGAATAGATTAATGGCAAGGCAAACTGTTACCGAATTGATAATTTCAAGTACATTCTATCGTACACCATCAATCCCAATACTTCATTCTCACTTGACCAAATCTTGCACGTGCTATGTCTTTGATATCAGAAGTTTGCATTATTAACATAATATTCGTAGAAGATGAACTAATGGTATAAGTGTGGTAGGAAAAAATACATCGCAGATGAACTTGGTTCTTCTTCAATCCCAAATACGACCCTCAATATCCTCGATGATACTCTGCTGACTCTCCCCCTTCCCTAATCTCTCCCAATACTCCATAATTTCCTTCGCGTACCCTGTATCCTCAACAGGCTTGTCCCACGCCGCTGTTCTCTTCTTTGCAATCGCGCTCCAATGCGCCATTCGTTCTGGCCTCTTCCCATCACGATTAGAGGCAAAGTGAATCAGTAGGGATCCTGGACGGGATGCTGATGGCTTGCCCGCTGCTAGATCCTTCTTGGTAGGCGGGAAGCCGTTGAACCAACGCTGAGGCACATATGCTACAGTATTATTCCAATTGTCCTATGACATCTTTAGCACAAGCAAGAATAAAGGATGGGGATGCGATCGACGTACACGTTTAACGACCTCTTCCATTCCCGACTGCTCGGTATACTTCAACTGTATCTCGGGTTGGTACTCTCTGATACTCAATGCACTTGCAAAGAATTTAAAACTCGCACTCGATACCCGGCATAGGAAAACCCCGTTGTTCAGGCCGTTCCTGTCGTTCGTAACTAGCATGTGGATATTATCGAATGCTGGTGAAGGGGGAACAAAAATATCCAGAGGAATTTGCGGGTTCATCAGCACTGTATCGCGATCATGCCATAGGACCCAGGCTAATCGCTCATCTTTTGGCTTTGCAAGTTCGTTTCCGATGATAGTCATGATGTAGGCGTGCTTGGACCATAGACCTCGAAGCATTCTCTCGCGGAGGATAAAGTGTGGGTACCCATGGATTTCGTTGTGGAGTTTATGTGATGCTATAGCGTTTTCATATGGAGGATCAGGTTCTCCAAACGTTGCAGTGATTTTACCGAATTTAGGGAACGAGAGCGAGCTGGAGAATGGAAGCTTGATGTTCGATGGTGGGAGCAGCTCGGATGGGCTTGGTCCATCTTTGAGACCATCACCATTTTGGGATAAGTATTCTGATATTTTTGGTGGCAGTTCTGATGGTCTCCATAGTGCTACTGTCAGAAGTACGATGAGTACAACCAACGCATACTTAGAAAATCTGGTAAGGTTTGGCATGTGTTGTCGCCTCCGAGTAGTAGAAACTGGCCCAGACATCCCTTATCAATCACGATCCAGGCTACGGCCAAAGTAACAAAGATAAGAAAAAGAGTGGTGCCAAAGGAGAAGGCAGAATATGACAACTCAGAATACTGATGCTGGCCCCCAAGTTGCACAAAAACACTATTTGCTGGATGTATCATGGAAAAAATCCCAATAGGTTCTATGGAATGCAAACGCACAAGTATTCGGAAATTGCCGTGAATACAAGGGCAGCCGCGGAGGAACGGCGTTGTAAGCGTGGCGACGTTTTGAGCGAGAATACACACTAAATAACCCACTATCTAGTGCACTGACAAGCAAGCCGTCTTGGAAACAAAATTCGAGCGGCTCAGCCCGCGGGACATTAGGCATATCCAGTGTCAGTGCCGATGGTTGTGCCTGAGCGACGGCTCGTGGAGACGCACAGGAGATCATACACCCGTCGGGGTGGTTTGGTGGTGGCGATCGGTAGACCAGGACGTGCTCATGTGGAAATTGGTATGCGCTAGCCTTGACACTAGCACCACATCGCATCGGTATCGCATCCTAGTCAATCGTACTCTAGTGCCAGAGCGCTGAACGGAAGATCCGCTTAACCTAGAAGAAAAAACACCAAGGGTGGATCTTCTGTTCCCAAATGCACCGTGATTTAGGGGTGCAGGGCGGTGTCGGTCTACTGCGAGACTCCCCCGCCACATGGCAAATGAACAATATGACAAGTGCACCACTGAATACTATATTTCTTCCTTACGCAGACTCTGAATCACATCACAGTTTGTGCCAGTCTGGCCTTGTGTGAACCTTTTCTATTCTATTACCCTCCTCATGTCTGTAGCCTTGAGTTGCCTCTTTCAGTTATTTAGCGCGTCATGATTGGCCGGAGCAATGTGCTTCACAGGCCACGCCGTTCGTTCCGCCGGTACATCTGGGCCTTGATCATTCTCTTTGTTTTTTGCTTCTGGAATTCTAGCACAGTCGCATGGAGGAAATTGGCGAATTCAGAAGCCGGCTTGGAGCCTCTCGCTCCAAACCCATTTCCGGAAACTGTCGAGGCGATAATCGAAGCAGAGTCGCCTCGCGCTGGGCGCTTTAACGTCCGCCATTCACACCCCAACTCAGAGCGAATCTGGAATGCTGAAGTTCCTTACCTCATTCCTTCGCCCCGTCCCGATACTCGACCTCGTAACATTCACAGCCACAATGCTGGATCCTCAGTAGGGGGTGGCTCTACGTTGACCACTGACGATGACACCGAAAATCACGATCTAGACGGTATTGAGAAAATCGAAGAGCATCGGAACGAAGGCAGTGTGGAACATGCTTCAAAATTAAACCACCCTGACGACGATGATGATGCTGCTGGATCCGAGTCTGAAGATATCGCATCCAATGAAAATGCCCAAATTCCGATTATGGACACGAATGCTAAGGTCGAAACCAATGATCTAGCTCAGCCTCAGAATATCAACGAGAATCCGATACCCGTTGAGACATTGGAAACCCAGACACCTTGGTCAGAGAATTACAACTTTCCTAGCTGGGACCAATGCGAAGAACTTAAAGAGAAGGCTGAAGGGCTTCCAGACCTCTACCATGTCCCATTTGAAGTCTCCGTCAAGGACGTGGTCCTCGAAGGTTGGGAGGATGAATGGATTTCGAAGGCGCATTACTCAGGCCCGAAGCTTGGCGAGCCCAAGATTGACTTTGTTTATACTTGTGAGTATTGCTACAACAAACGTCACGTCCCACTTACTAATCATGTTTGCAGGGGTGAATGGATCACAGAAAGAGTTGACCGAGACTATGAAGCCTTATGAACTAAACTCTTCACTAAACGACGCAGATGGAGTCTGGATTAAATCGCACGGCTCCAACAGATATCGCGAGTGGGATGAGCTCCGTTACTCTATGCGCAGTATCGAGAAATATGCCGGTCATTTCACGAACCGAATCCAGATTCTCGTCAACGCTTTCAAGAATGCCAAGATAGATGATACATCACCAACTACGTATGGTAAGCAATGGCCTCACTGGTTGAGGCCTGATATGGAAAAAGTTCAGGTCCTTAGTCAGGAAGAGTTTTTTGGACCTGAGGAACGAAAATGTTTGCCGAGTTTCGATTCTCTTACTATCGAGAACCAACTCTATAATACTAAGTCTGAAGTAGATAGAGTAAGTCTCGAATACCCCTCGTACCAGTAATCAGCATCATGTTAACATCATATAGCTGTTTGCACTCTCCGACGACATGATTTTGGGCAAGCACCATTCACCGTCCGATATATATTCCCCACTATTCGGCCCTACTCTTGGCTTCAAAACCAATGCATACAACACACTACAGCCTCCTACCGAGAAAGATGCTGAGAGATTTGGAGAGAAGCCCTTCTTAATTTACACGTCCTGGCTTCTGAACCGACGATTTGGTGCTCGCAAGCGCAAGGGTCAAGTGCACTTCGGTCACTCTCTTTCTCGAAGCATCGCGAGAGAGGCAATCACTAGCTTCCCTAGACCGGCTTTGAGAAGTGCATACCAACGGTTCCGAGGTGAGACTGGCTTTCAGCTCTACTCGTGGTATATCATCTTCCATTACACTATGGAGAGACATCGCGAGGCCCTACTTTGGAGCTACATCATGATGCGAAGCGACAGCAACAATGATGGCTACTTGGACTGGGATGAACGCCAGACTGTCATAAATGATCTAGCAGAGGGTTTGAGCAATGAAACCCCAGAAATATTCCGACGCCGGATATACTACCACGTCCAGGACTATCTTGAACAAGCTGGACTCAAACCCCCAGTTGTGAACAATGATGTCCTCTGGACATCTCTGGACGGACCAATTATGATCAAGGATCTGGACTGCGATGCATTCGATATGGAAGATTGCTTGGCCCCGGGATTTTCTATATCATCCAGTGATGCTGAAGCACGCAGCCCCGTATTCTCTACTGCAACAATCTTTGATCGAGTCACACGTGAGTCGCCACGCTGTGGCGATTGCTTGATCAAACTGATTCTGAACCGGCAACGAGCCGGGCTGGAGCCGCTTCTACCTCATCCTGTTCAAAAGGCCAAGCAGCGGGAGATGGTGATCAAAGCACTGATCAAATTCCAGTACACGGTTGTCAATCCAGATGCAATGTTCTATATGATCACAGATGCGGAACAAGCTGAGCATATTTTGCTGAGGCCATACCTTAAACAAAACAAGAAGGCCGGTCAAATCTGTTTGAACGATGATGTTGTCACTTCCAACAAGCAGGAGTTGGAACAGCTGAGGACAGTGATGAGCGAGTTTTTCAATGGAATATTACCAGACGTCTCCAGCTACGAGATCTAGTCTGCAGTTCTCTTTTTCCTCTTGTACAATACCAAAATAGCGCAACAATAGATTTCATTACTCTTCTGCAATTCGATACTTGTAACCTGGAGTCTTTTGGACGGTCACCAAATAGTTAGTAGGCAGTCTTCGAGCACAGAAAGTGCAATGGAAGCACTCTTCCCCTGAGCGGGTTTGATTTCACCTCCCTGAACCAGTGCCTCCTTGGAACCGGTCAGTACAGCCATGGTGCTGCTCAACAAAGACTATCCGCAGAGGTCTCAGGCTGCTTACGAGTAAGCGACGTACTACATTCGTCCCATGATTCCGCCACTGCAGTTGCCAAGAAGCAAGCAGTCTGGAATTTTTTTGCCCCCGTAAGCCAGAAAAGACCAACTAAAGCTCTGTGCATCCTTCGATTCACATATAGCCCCTCAGTTATTCAGCTGCAGCTGGAAAAGGAAACGAGGCACGAGACAATGCACTGATCTTCGGTAGTTGGTGGCTGTTCGCTTCGGTAGTCAATCTCCACCATTCTTGGCACTCCGGTTGCGCGCTAAGGTGCGGAGCGACTAAGTGTGATACTCCTGTAGCTGCTGGCGGCTATACCAAGTTCCGAGAAAGCGGGAGGTCTATCGCTACGGTAAGATAGCCGATCTTGGCAAATTCTGCCGTCCGCGGAAAGGGTGGTCCATTCACAGTGTACATACAATATTATGCTGCCCTACCCACGATGGAATCTTCTGTCCCCTACCCACAGTCACTCTTTGATCGTCGAGTTCTTGCTCTTTGCTCTGCCCCCTACTCAGCACTTCAAGTCCTTTGAGTAGTTTATTATTTTATTGTTTAATATCCAACCTCAGTCATTCTTTAATACTCGCCGTCGAAAATGAAGTCCATCTCCATTATCTCCCTTGCGACAGCTGTCGCAGCCGACTATGGCTATGGCGTTCAGTCGACCTCATCCAAGCTCGGTTATACTACCGTCTATCCTGGGCACGGCAAAGAACCAGTCACTGTTACAGCCCAGTATCAGCCAGTCCCGACCTATGTCAACGGCGAATGGTCGGAATACGAGGCTATCTCGACTGTGATTACTGATGGCTATGGCAAAGAGGTCACTGTAACTGCAGCCAACCAGGACGTGACTGTGTATCAAACAAAGAAAACCATCACCCACACTGTCACTGCTACGCCTGAAGGATATGCTCACCCAACTGGCTATGCCCACCCAACTGGCTACTACGGAGGATCGAGTGCACCACACACCAATAAGACATGGTACGAGCTCTATGAGGAGATTCACGAAATTCCTTACGACCATATCGGATCACATGCGATCCCTGGATATCCCGGAAACCCAAAGTACACGGGCAACAAGGATGAGCAGGGTATGACAATCAAGAAGTACTCTGGTGGAAAGTGGTCCACTTATACGCATACCTTTACCTACGGCGCACCCAAACCCCAGGTGACCACCTTCGATGCCCCTGGCGTCTACACTGTGCCTGCCAACGACATCACTGTCGCAACCCCTACCATTGTCGCTGCCGAGCAGACCTACCACGCTGAGGCCAACAAGCCCGTCACCTACGGGGGTCAGATCGCCGAAGTCACTAAGCCAACCACCATCGCCGCTGTGTACATTGGATACGAGACTGAAGGCACCATGACCAACACTGTCGTTCACAGCACAACTGTTACATGCTCTACCGCCGGAACATACACCATCGTCAAGCCCACTACAACCGTTTACGACCACGACACCACGGTTACTTATCCTTCCGTTACTCAGTACGAGGCCGGTGTCTACCATCACCCTGCCGAGACCGTCACCGTCACCGCCGCTCACCAGCCGTATACTTGCAGTTTCGAGCAGACCTCTGCTTATCCTGTTGCTACCCCTGATGCCGTCTACAGCTCTGCTCCTGTCTACAGCGCGTCTCCCGTCTACAGCTCGGCTCCTGTCTACAGTGCGGCCCCTGTCTACAGCTCTGCTCCCAGCTACACCACTGGAGACGCTACTACCAGCACGACTCCTTATGCTGCTGACCCGTCCTCGGACTATGAGGAGCCTGTCGAGAGCTACGGCCATGCATCTGCTGGCTACGTCAAGCGCGGTGGTGTTCTTCAGCGTCGCAAGGCGGCATCTGCTCCCGCTAAGGCGCCTGCTAAGTTCGCCATTCTCGTTTAAGTTTATCCTCTTGCGTAGGTGGAAAATGTGGCGCGCCGATATTGAACAGTTTCGGCGGGCTGGTGGAGAAGCTATCTCTATTCTTTTCTTTGTTCTTTAGCCGCAATGTCTTTTCTAGGCTTGCGCGTCTATGATGTTAATATGCCTTTTATATATTTTGGCTTAAAATGAAAATCGTAACTGATAAACTTGATCACTGGTGAACCCGAAGCGAAAATGGATACTAATGACCTGCCTGTATATAATTGACTTGGATGTTCCCGTATGTAGTGGAATTTTGAGACAGTGAATGACAGGCCAGGAATTCCAATCCCAATCCGTTATAGACTACATACACGAAAATACAATGTACTGTGAACATGGTGAAAAGCAGGCCTCGGTATTCAATTCACGGGGCAACTTCGGTTCAGAAGGGGTCTTGGTAGTTGCTACAGCCCGTCCGCGTCCGGTCTTTTTCGGCTGTCACATCGAGTAATTGGACTAGGGGGAACATACGCGGTCACCAAGCATCGGCTCGGAGGAAAGCGAACCTGAGCACTCGATCGGGATATATCGCACGCGACATGTGAACGTTTTCAGGCACTAGTCGGTCTGGCCAACAAAGTTCAATACCTTTTTTAGCCTCCACCATGGCTTGCAGTCTCCTATAGACTACTCCTAATCAAGCCTGTTTCCAAGCCCGCCTCCAAGCCACTGCCAGGACGCTAAAAACGCCACTATCACTCCCGTCTACCTTTACATCTCGCTCACACTAGCAAACGCCACAATCACCCTCGCTCGACTATCTTCTTTTTGTGCTCTCGGAAGTCGCGATCAGCCACGGCCCCTGAAATTAATACACTTACGCAGTCGCTTTCCAACGCCCCTTTTCAAAAGGTAGATTATATACCACCTACCAACGGAAAAGGCCAACTCGCTATGCGCACAAAAAATGCTAAACATAGCGGAAACTACTATGGGGGAGACGGAGAAAGGTCTCCCATCCCCCTCACTCCTTGGCGTCTCGACAAGATATCGATCCATACATCGGCGGATCCTGCGAAATTTACTACCGAGTTTTCTTTTGCACAACACCACAGCTGCGAGAGATGAGATACGGCCGACGGATTTCCTCGACGGCATGCGAGGCTATGCGGCCTTCATCGTCTACTGTTGCCATTTCTTCATGCCGACACATCCTCAGGCGAACCGCGGGTATAGCGACTCCAATGGCGACGATGACCTCTGGTTTACCCAGCTACCAATCATCCGGCTAATCTACAGCGGGCACGTCAGCGTCTTCCTATTCTTCGTCATCTCCGGCTTCTCCATCTCTTTGAAGCCACTGAAGCTCATCCGCAACGGATCCTACAGCGCTTTCCTCGACACCATGGTATCTGCGACATTCCGTCGACCATGCAGACTCTACCTGCCATGCTTGGTCACACTCGCAATTACCTTCGTAGTTGCATGTTGCGGAGCCTTCGACTTCTCGTACGCTCTAACAAAAAACTGGCCATTTCTCAGCAAACCATTACGGATACCGATTGCACATCACTCGCTTTCGAAGCAATTCGCCGACTGGACGGGCCAGGTGTGGACGTGGTCTGATCCGCTTGCACGACGGACGCGACACCCGCCTTACGGCGTGCAACTCTGGACCATTCCCATCGAACTCAGCTGTTCCTTCATCAGCTTCCTCGCGCTGATCGGACTCGCAAAAGTACGGCCGGCCGCACGAATGGGCATTACCACTGCAATTGCGGTGTACTTTTTGTTCCAAAATCATCCAGAGGCCACGCTCTTCCTTGCCGGGACTACGCTAGCAGAATTGTATCTTATACGGCAAGAGCTTGCTGCTTCTGCGTCCAGTCGAAATACCGAGTCTCGCAAGCAGAAGATTCAATCGAGTTTGTTGTTTGCACTTGGACTGTTTGTTTCGTCCTATCCTGCTGCCCATGGTGAAAAGGCGCTGTTTTCTGCCCCACTCCACTACATTGCAAGTGCAGTATTTGGCCCATCGATACGTTCTTCCAATCTATTCATTACCATAGGCACCGTACTACTAGTTTACGTTGTGTCTCGGTCGCCCTTTCTACAATCCATGTTTACCACGCATGTTGCAAAGTATATGGGGAAGATATCGTTTGCACTGTATTGTGTGCATCAGGCTATGATTAATAGCTTTGGGTACAGGAGTATGTTGTTCTTGTGGTCGTTTACTGGGAATGATACGCTGTACCGGTATGAATTGGGTCTTGGTCTTTCATGGGTCATTCAGACGGTTGTGACGATTTGGGCGGCAGATGTTTTTTGGAGGTTCGTGGATGTACCGAGTGTAGGGATTAGTAAGTGGTTGGAGGAATTGTGTCTTGTTAAGAGCTAGAGTAGTCTCTTAGAACTTATCTTCTTGTATATTTTATATATTGTGCGTAACGGCCACATATTCACGACCCATTCATCCGAACTAGACTTCAACTCCAATATACATGTTTCTCCAACACTGGTTAATATTGAGGCTGTACTAACAGTAGAAGAATCGATAGGGTGTAGGGAAAAGACCTAGCTAGAGAAATATGGTAAGAGAGTATTTTCGTAGTTGTACGACGCTTAAGAGGAGATATTGTTGAGTAGTTGATATTCAAGGGCAACCAGTGCCGTCCGATATTGTAGGAGATTTTCATGACGCGTCACCAAGTACTATGTATAATCTATGTCTAGTTCATCACAACTTACTCATCTCCTGCTTCTTACTCTCTACCTCCTCCAATACATCGTACCCATACACCCACTGCCTAATCTTCTTGTCCGTAATACCATAACTTGTCCAATCAAGCAGCGGATCACCCTTGGTCTCCTCCTCGCCCTCAGCCCCGTCCCTCCTCGCTGCTCTATCCCGCATATCTCTTGCGGGCCCAGGCTCCAGGTGCAATAGGTCGCCCGCGTGCTGGCTCGCCGCACTGATCTTCTCTGCACGCGGCTTGCGCACAGTTTCGAACAGCGTAACAGCTGAAGCCAGCGAGAATATCTCTGGACGCGAGACGTGGTGGGCCAAAGCGATAGCAAGCGCTAAGCCGTCTTCAATGGCGAGAGAGACGCCCATGGACAGGTAGAAGGACATGGCGTGGGCGGCGTCGCCGATGAGGACGAAGTTCTTGGCCCGTGATGTCCAACTGGGGAGAGGCAGTACTTGGTGGACTGGCCAGTTGGTGACAGGGCCTGAGGCCAGTTCAATCAGGCGCTTTACGCGCGGGTCCATGTCTCCGTAAAAGCGGGTTAGTTCGGCCTTGTATTGTTCTTGGGTCCAAGCGCTGGTGTCGACTGTGTCCGGGTGGGAGAGCACCAGGTTGAGCTTGTCAGAGCCGCGGATCATGTATGTCATGACGAGCTTGTGGGTGTCAGCCCTAAGGAATGGTCAGTAAGCGTTTGAGGAGTTAGCCATCTTTGATATTTTTTGACGCACCAGCAATTTCCCGCATGCTCCTCTACGATCTCCCTAGTGAGCGGGTCGGCCCGCACCTCCTTCACATCGGCCATAACGCGGTAGGCGGCCATGCCTGTGCCCACCACCCACTCCTGTTGCGGTGCTCCCAGACTCCGCATCAGTTGGCCTCTCGCGGAGCTGTTGATACCATCGCACGCTATCACCAGATCTGCCTTGAGCTTCTCCCCGTTCTGCACCTGCACCCATCCCTCCTCCACTCCGTACTTGGCCACCCGCGTCCCCAACCTCATCTCCACATCCACCGCTCCATCCTTCCCTTGCCTCGCTACCAGCGCCTCCCACAGAATTCGATGCAGGTCCGCCCGGTGCACAACTATATACGGCGCCCCGTACCACTCCGTAAATCGATCCATCGGCACCCGGTTCAGTACCTCGCCGTCGCTTCCACGTCTCAGGTGCCATGACGACGGCACCGCCGAGGCAGCAAGCAGCGCTGGGCCCAGCCCGCACCGGAGGAAGAAGCGCGTGGCCACGGGCGTGAGCTGCACGCCCGCTCCAATCTCAGCCAGCTGAGGTGCGGATTCAAGAAGGAGGATACGATGTTTAGAGTTCGTACCCGAGAGCGAGTGCGAGAGGGCTAGTGCGGTGGAGAGCCCCGCGAGACCAGCTCCAACGATGATAATCTCCATTTTGCTGTTCTTCTTTTTTTGCTTCTCCTCCTCTTTCACGTCGGGTTTGTTTTCTTTCTAACTCCGTTTTGTGGGGGATCGTGAAGGATTGTAGGAAATGTTGAAGGATTACGGGGGATCGTGGGGGATCGTGGGGAGATTTTCGATCTGAACGGCCGTCTGGGGTACACCTTTCATATACTTATACCGGGACATCAACACAGCGGAATGCAATGGAATGAAGCGGAATTCAATTATTCAAGCGTGACTATCGTACCACGGATGTTTCAGCCGCAGTCAGCATTCATCTAATGCATGTTACCCTGTTACAACAGGCTCATCCCAGCTGGCCAAGTTTCCTCGGACTTGCTGGTTACCCTATAAAGTAAACTCCTAGGCACGGTTCGGCCTTTTTAACGGGCAGCCCCGCCATTAGCCCTGTACAGCGCCCGCCGCTAGTCAGCACAATGGTCTAGTCTCGGCTGTGCTCGCGGTGCTTGCGTAACTCCCTTCAACTACCGAGCCAAGCGGTATATTTCCGCTTGTTTGACATGGTGGAAGCGGGCCCTTGGCGCTGAGTGAGTGCGCTTCTACTGTCATTGTGCTATGATATCTTCACTGTATATATGTTTCTCCGCGGCTTATATGTAGCCCTTGTATATAGTCACGACACTTTGGTATAATACCCGGCTGTTATGATCGATTATGATTGACGGGCGAACAATCTAGTAATGATTACCCCCAAGGATCAAGACCAACACTCCGCGCCACAATCTTTCCAATGATATTACAAAGAAGGAGTTGTAATCCGTATATCTGCTTATTTAAAGTTCAGTAAGTAACGTTGCACTAAGCTGTTATATGTCGAGACAGAGGAGGTGCGCAAAAGTCATAGCAAGTAAAAATTATATATCATATTGAATAATGAAGTTTGATAGCATCGAATCAAATGCAATCACCTACATACCCAACCGACCACTCTACTAAGCACAGCCCTTACAGAGACCTAACCTCTAGGGTTTGCACTAAGAGTTGACAGTTGAGTATCCTAACCCCCAATCGGCGGCGTACGGAGCTCGCACCTTCCACCGCTTGGGTCGTACATGGCGCAAAAGGTGGATCTTTATAAGAGTTAGAAAGCGAATTTCCTCTCATAATCCTTGCTACAAACTTACGTGGTTGGGTTAGGGTTACGGGTGTAGCAATTGTACTTCTCTGGGTTCGGCGTGTCACAAGTAGTAACTACAGCAGCGTACATGGTTTGGTTGTTCCTTGATTGCAATTTCTAATCGTGGTTAGCATACGCAACATTCGCATCACATGCGAAAACACTACTTACGACAAGTTGAGCTTCTGGACTAGGGACAAAGCCATTCACGCACGTCTTGGGGAATTCCTCTTTGCTGACAGGAACACCATTTCCCAAGCCGAAGCCGTCCTGGTCTCCCGCAAACTCATAGCGGCTTAGGCCACTACCATCAGGGCAGACAAAATTGTCACCGGTACTGAAGCTGGGAAAAAAATAGCAGCCTCCGGCCCCATTGCATGCATTGGAGTTCCAACCACTCGCTACTACTACGGGAAAAGCAGTGGCGAAAAGAGCGGTGAGAAGAGTGGCGCGCATCTTGAGTGCGGAATTATGCGATTATGTGGCGAGAGGTAACTGTTGAGAGATGTAGAAGGGGAGATGATGACTACTTCACTTGTGCGAACTGGGTCCTCTTATAGCAACTCTACTGTGAGCGTAGTACCAGAGACCCGACTGGCCTCAACAGCCTAGTCAATTGATACAATAAGCAAATATATGTAATCGCGGAGATCCAACCTTGAGCAGTCCGCGTTTAACCAACATTCAATGCCATGTGTACGTGGAAGCCATGCTGTCCCTGTTGTTTATATTATCATCATGTCTATACTTGAACTCTTTTCCGGAATAGTCTTCTCCTTTCAATATACACAAATTAAAACATAATACCTAGCGCTGAAAACAGAAGTTGCAGCCTGTAAAGGTCCGATAATGAGGGCTCTAAAACGCGCACAGGCCTATAGTAGCGTCATAGTACACCGATGCACAGACTACCTTACTGCATATAACACTCTTGGTGAGAGCTTCAAGCTGTGCTGAGCTTACCCGCCTTCGCATCCCCCGCAAATAAACTCTATTTAGTTCTCCTTTTACCCCTCGTTTTCTCTGTAAACGCGCCTTACACGTTTAGCTCCGTACATTACAGCCGCGGGATATGGAGTAAACGCGCCTCTACGAATCAAGACGAACAATGTTCAGTTACCATAATGAGCGGGAAAATAAGCGAAGGCGATTGCGACAACAGTTCAAGGGAGATACCAGGTCTTCGGGACCAATAATTGTTGAAAATGGAGTGGTGCGGGATATTTAGGCATTAAACTTGAGTTTTTTCGAATGAAGTTACGCAGCCACTGCATGCGTAATGCCAAACTTTGATCGCAAAACTGAGTTGGTAAACGATAGCTAAAGAGGATTCTGACCTCAAGAACTTGGAGTAAATATTCATTTCTATCAGATCTGCAGTGCTTAACCATACAAATCTTCTGTTGGTCACACCCATCGGAAAAATTGGTTGCCACACTTGCCACCAATCATCCTTGGTTTGCACTGCGCATTGGCGAGAAATACTATTTAGTTATTGTTTACCTATATTCGTGTGAGGTCATACTGCTCCAACCACCGCAAACTTCTTGGGCGGGTTAAAGACAGACAGGGATTGATGCATAGTGCCATTTCTTGAGGGTGAACGACAAGGCGGGTATCTTTTTCTCCGAGGCATCATCGGAAGGGACATGCGCACGAAGCCATAAAGAAATTGTTTTGTACCTGCTGAGCAAAGAGATCACCGCCAAGTTAAGCATCGCACGCCCAGGGCTGCACATAGTGTGTGTGTACGGCCATAAAGGCATTGTCAAGCTACTCTTAAGCTCTAACGTCAAGTGCCACGTCAAGGCACTCAAACACATCTAAGGGATTAGATTAGTAGAGATTTCAGTGTTTGGTAGTGGCCTTCATCTTATGCGAAAGATGTTGAAGAGCACAAAACATCGAGGGAATGTTCACTGGGCAGCTTCAACAACTGGCTTCCGGCCGCGGACTGCATTGGCCGCCGTATGCGCTGGAAAGCACCAAATCATTATCGACCTATTGCTTCAGCGAGGAGTCGCAATCAAGTTTATCCCAGGGGGTGGCGCAAATCCGTCGTATTGGTCATCTGCCGGCAGCCACGTCTCAATTGTCCGGCTACTACTGAAGCGTGCAATAGGCGCTGCAGGAGGGGTGGCTGCTGGTGGAGTCGCTATTTCAGGTACCAGTGTCAATTGGAGTGGCTCACATGAACATGTAGCTAGCATGTGTGGGTATTGTGACGACCGGGGTGAGTGCTGCAGAAGTGGAGATGGATGCCTGCCTCACTGTTGTGGCGATGAAACCAATGATCATGACGAAGGCTCCTCTTGTACCATTATGCAATTAACTGTCGAATCAGCGATCCAGCGTTTAGCAGTTGTGGGGATCATCTTCAATAGTTGGACATTTTGTGTCTACCTATCTTTGACTTCACTGCTGTTTGCCATTAACTCTAATTGAATAGGCGCTTCTGCATGCGCTGTTGCAACCGCGCGGTTATCTAGTAATTGCCCCGGGAATCGCCTTACACGAGCGAGGCTGAAACTTTTGTAGGCGCCCATTACATTTTTACAGTTAGGCTCTGCCGTATAACTGCGGCATGTGGGGCTCAACCCTGCAGAAAGCCAACATCAAATGCAGTGCAGAACTTGGCTGTAGCCTAGGCTACCTCCACCTTCTCACACATTGTGTAACAATAAATACATCTATGCGCTGTCTGGACAACAAACATACACGTTTGATCTTCCTACTTGTTTTCTCGTTACGAAAGCATACATAATGGATTCACAAACCCCTTACGTTTACGACACAATCCAACCAAATCAAATCCGGCTTTTGAGGTTTATACCAACCGAGAACGGCACAGCTCTCATACTGGAACCTTTCTCTCTCGATGAGCCGATTCCCTCATATCGTTGCCTTTCCTACACATGGGCTTGCCCCGACAGGGGTATGCAGAAAACCTGGAGTCTGAAAGTAGGATCAGGGCATATTCGAGTCCTTGATTCTCTCCAGTCCTTCATTCAGGCACTGAGGCATAAGGGCAAACTGTTTGAGGGCAGGTGGTGGATTGATTTCCTATGCATCAACCAAGCCAACCTGGAAGAACGGTCTCAACAAGTCACACACATGAAGGATATCTATCACAATGCTGAAGAAGTGGTCATCTGGCTGGGAGAAGAGTCGAATGACAGCAACCTTGCCGTCAACTTCATCAAAATGCATGACAAGTTCGAACAACAAGGCAACAGTATTGAGCAAATTCGTAAAGCGTTCAACGGGGTGGGTGAATATACGGCACACTGGATAGCGCTGTCCAACTTTCTGTCTCGCAAATGGTGGTCGAGAATCTGGACAATACAAGAGTTTGCAGTGCCGTTGAACATCATCTTCTGGGTTGGTCTGGACGAGGTTAGCAAGCTCGCTGTATGCCGAAGTATCTTCATCGCAGACAAATGCACTCAATCAGGCATCAAAGAAACCATTGCATTTCGCTACGGCTTTAATCGGAAAAGAGCTTGGGACTTGTACAGGGCTGATCCGAAAGGCGTCCGTTCGGGGCGGACTCTGCTAGCGCTCACTGCTTACTTCTGCTTCATGGATGCAACCGACGATCGAGATCGTTTGTATGGCCTCATGGCTCTATCGACCGACGGGAATACGCTTTTGGACGTCGATTACTCACTCACTTGTGAAGAGGTGTACATGAAATTTGCAAAGGCTTTCATCACCAAACACAAATCCCTAGATATCATATGCTTCGCCGGAATATACAGCGCGGCATCCAGCTCTTCGCTGCCATCTTGGGTGCCTGACTGGCATTGGAGAAATGCATTCCATGTCACTCCTTTAATGGTCAGTCAGTCTCATAACAAGCAGATCGGGAATCTTCGGGCGCCCCAATCCATTACAGATGAGCCCTGTGTATACTACGCGGCGTCAGGCAACAGACCTCCTACCTATGAGTTTCAAGGCTCTAAGCTATGCGTGGGAGGAGTTATTTTGGACACCATCGATGGAATAGGCGGCTCTGCCAATGCAACATTTGTCCAAAGTTCAAACAACTCTATCCAAGCATCAGACAAAACCGCAAAGCCACTATCGTCAACGGACATACTGAAGAGCATATGCAAAGCCTTAGTGTGGGACCGCAAAGATCGCTTCTTGATGTTCGATATGCCTGCTGAAGAGTTCTTCTACGACTTCATACGTCTCTGCGCACCGCTCGCGGACCCCGACTCACAAACAACCGTCCTTCCTGAATTGAGGGAATGGTTCCAGCGGACAGCTTCCCTCCAAATCTACGGACGATCCTTTGAAAGCATTCTACGTGACAGTAGTCAAACAGGCATCGACTTCTCCGGTCCGTCTCCAAACGATGACGAATACATTCAGGACTCCTTCATTGGTCGATTCTTCGATACAATCATAAGACTCTCCACGCGTCTTACTGTAACCGCTTCTGGTCGCATTGGCATGGTCGGAGAGAAAGCGATGAAGGGCGATCTAGTCTGTATTCTCTACGGCTGCAGCGTTCCTGTCCTGCTACGAAAGTTAGGTGACAGCGACGATTTCACTTTTGTGGGTGAATGTTTCCTTGATGGCTGTATGGATGGTTCGATTCTGGAGCAGGAAGAACTCGCAGAGAAGACATTCTGCGTACAATAGTAGGGTCAAGTTACAGGTGTGGAAGTTCGTAGCGAATTGTAAGACTATCCATCTGATTATCATCTTTTGAAATGATTCTTCATGGTGTACGTGGTCGTACGCTCGGCTCAGTGTGATCCCCACGTATTACAGGTACACGTCAGCTGGATACTGAATGAAAACCTAACGCTAGATCTGCCGTGGTACTAATTAGACTCAAATTTCCGCTGTATGCAAGTCAGAGTAATCATTCATTAGTAGTTTCTCTAGTTGCAACTGGCCAAAGTTCAAGTAGCACGATTGGATATCACGAAAGTTAGGGAGGCTACTATGAAGTTCGTACATCATTCCAGTACCCTTATATGCGTCTTTTAGAGTCATATTATTGTGGGTATCATCAACCCCAACTATGATAGCTCAACCTCCATCTTCCGGTAAGTTCTCAACTGTACCGGTCCCACAAGTCCAAACTTGTGCCAATCCTGGCTCGTGTAGAAAGTTTTGTTCGTCGGACCAAATCCAATGCTCAAGACATTGTCGATGTTTTCTTTCACAGAGTTGAACAGGGATGTCGTCACTTCCACCTTCATGAAGTTGTTGCCATTTTGAACCAGTTTCGAAATTTCAACGATGGGATTCGTCGGGTCGATGGCGGGGACTTTTTTGCCGTTCAGCCATGCCTTGACGGTGTGAAGAACGGGGCCAAAGTCTAGCATGATAGATGTAGAGTTGTCTGTGGAGACGTTGAAGTTCGTGCTGTATGTTCCGATACCACTGACATGTTCGATGCCCGGAATTTTTGTCCATGGTGCTAGTTGAGGAAGCATGCCTACATTGATCGTTGTGATATTAGGATCGACTGTAGCGTGATCAAGCATAGGCCCATAAGCTTGAACTGTAAGATTCCAGGGACCTAGTGTCGTGGCTCCTGGACTTTGTGTGTTGGATTCGGGAAGATTGATGTTTTCGCCGTTGCTCAAGGATAATGATGCTGACAAACTGTCGGAAATCAATACCTCCAGGTGGTTGTCTTTTGTGAAATAAACGTTCTTCACATTAGAAGAATGACTGACTACATTTCTCCCAATTTGTGCTGGGACAGTAGCCTTGAGCGCAACTATGACTGTCTGATGGGATTGTAGTTGGATGGCCATCCGGACGCCAGAAGAGGTTCTTTGGAAAACTGCAGATGAGACCTCGAAACCAGTCCATGAATCCAAGATGTGGGGCACCAGATCTTTCTCAACATTAAATGTGATGTTGAATACTCCCTCTGCTCCTTGGTTGTAAAGATAGACGTACTCAGAGCGTGACGTGGTGTCAGACGTCCAAAACGTAAAGAGGTCCGACGTGTTGGTAGTACCTTCCACCTGAGCGCGAGCATGTACCCCATCTGCAGCAAGTTGGGATGTGGAAAAGTTCTTGGCCTCGAAAACGCGCACATTGCTGTACTGCAGTAGCTCATTGATATTTTCTGAGACATGTTGTTGCCCGGTAGATCCAATCGTGGTGTTGGGAATTGTACCCACGATATATATGGGTAGTCCGTTTTGCGCGAAATCCAACAACGCTGCAGACGCATCTGGCGTAATCTGTGTCTGATTGTAAATGAGTAGAGCCTTGTAAGCTGGTCCCTCGGGAGCAAGAACTCCATCAACAACCGCAGCTTGCTCAGAAACCAAGTTCTTTGGCCCTAAGTACTCGTATGTGTATCCTTTGATGCGTTAGTTCTTGCTAATCGCTCTTGGCTTGTTTTTCTCACCGTATTCGTTTGCTTCAGACGTGGAATACATATCTGCAAACTTATAGGGAGCCTGATAATAGTACAGAGCGAGGTCCACCTTGGGTGTGCCGGATTGCATGATCAGGCTGTTCCTCGCTGAATAGGTAAACAGATCATCAAGATGCTGCCATGCTGGTTGCCTTTGATTCCACATTTCAGTGTACGAATATTGGAAAGGCGTGTATCCAGGCCATGTAGTCTTGATGTATTCACCACTGTATGCATAGCCATGGATAACCATTGTGTTGACACCTGCTGCGTACGATTGATCGAAAAGGTTTTTCAGTTTGGGGACCCGAAGAGTGTATGCTCCTCCATTAATGGCGCCGATTTCAGTAGAGATGACATTTCGACCCGATAGATGAGCCGGGCCTACGAACTGCCGGTAGAGATCTATGTCCTCCTCAAAACCAAGGGACTCGAGTTCAGGTACTTGGACATGTGGTATCGCTCCCGCCTATTGATTATTAGAGCCCGTCTCTATTGGGTGAAGAAGACTGTGACGCGAGGATATGCCAAAATGGCACATGACTTACCATGTCGACAGGTTGGTTATAGCCAGGTTGGTTAGATAACTGGAGTCCTTTGCTTGATGCCCATCTAGCATAGTGGTCAATGTATTCTACATAGCCTTCACTAAGAGCAAGCTTGTAGTCTTGGACGTAAGGCCCGCCGTCTGTGAAATACTCGCCAAGCGTGTATGTCATGTTGTAAGCGGGCCACAATGCCTGCCATGCGTTCGTTCCGTGAAACAGAACTGGGAGGTACTTGTTGATACTATATCCATGGATCCGTTCGAAATGCGAGGGGAGATTTGGTGTCCATGGAAGAGCGGCTTGGATTTCCATACTATCTTCCCAGGCTTGGGAAAAATGTTAGTCCAAGTGTTAACGTCAGATACTACAAAACGCACCGTAGCTGGTGACTCTTTGCATGAGTCTAGCTATCTCAGGGACAGACAGAATGTGCTGATCCCAAAAATCCGTCGTCTTCTTTGCGCCGTTGGCACTCCAGTGATCTACTATCCAAGAACCATTGCCGAGTGCGGTCGTGGCATTTGCAACTGATACGCAGCTCCGCTGGTTTGTATAACGCTCATATACGGCAAATAGGACCCATGTTCCGTTACCATCTGGAGCTGTCCAAGTCAAAGTGCCATGGTCCGTAATGTTAGTCAACTCAACTAAAGAGTCATGATCCAAAACCGTGTAGGGAATCCTAGAGCCGTATGGACCATCCGCGAAACCGCCTTCCGAGACGGTTTTTCCAGCAACGACAGCTAGCAGCTCGTTTGATCCCCACGGCTCTGGTGGGTTCATAAACCCCGGGAGGAAGTTGTAGTTGACAACAGGCTCAGGGATCTCGCCGGAGAAAGTAGCTCCTGATTCAATCTTGGTACTCCCGTACACAAGCGTCTTGGCTAGGCCGGGAGTCTCAACCTCTGATGGCACTCCAGCGCCTTGGTTGGGACCTAAGGCAAAATCGAAGGCTAGCTGAAGCGTAGACGCCGTATCCAGGACTGCTTGGAACAGTTTGTTAAAATCGTCTGTACCAAATCCATATATAGACCAGTCGGTAAACGCAGGTCCCAGCCCGTAGTTGTAGAAAGGTAGGAACTCAAGTCCACCACCTCCTACAGCGGCAATTTGACGAACATCGTTTTGAACGGAATCATGGGTAACAGATGCGTCAGGTAACCTACCGCTGTCAGTAAGGAAAATAAGCAGCAGGGCAGATTGGGGCACACAGACCAGTATCGGAATTTCGGTCGGTATTGATTTGGAGGGTTGCTGAATTGAGCAGTCACATTACTTGACGCAGAGCTATGCCCTGAAATTCCTTGAACTGTAGGTAACAACAACGCAGAAAGAATCAAATGCTTCATTGTTCACGACAGGCGAGGAGACAATGTTGTCGCTGCATTATTGTTGGATATCAAGCTATTTAAATGGTATCTTGGGAGCCAGGGTAATTACTTCGGACCACGTGCGAAGCCGACCCCCGGACTGGATCCACATTGCATCTGTCTATTAAATTAAACTAAGTTTTGAACACGGAGTGCGGGGACCCCGGATTGTTAGCATGTCCATCATCCTTCCGAAGACCTTGCTTGCAATTCGTGGGGAGAACGACGGGCAGGGTTGGTGACTCGCATGATGCTAGTTCGGATGGCTGAGCAGGATCTTGAGTCGGGATAATATCAAGCTCCTAGTGTCAAGATTTCGGTCTTAGTTCTCCCGGATAACAGGTGAGGTATTTTAAGCAGGCAACTAAGCAAGTAGCTCCACGTATATCTATACACCAAGTCGTAGGAGATGAGTATCTACTGGTATATACTAAGTCAATATATTATTACTTAACTTTATTCTATGTAGTCCCACACTTTGTACACTGTACGATTCCATAATATTTGGTAGGAAGTAGGTGGTAAATTCTGTAGTGGTTTTCCGGCATGCCAGTAAGATTTGGGGTGAAGTATGCTTTATTACTAGCTCGGTGTATCTCTTTCCGGGAATGAAGTCTTGGTATAGGCTTTGTTCTTTTTTCTTTCCCTATATCGGGCTGTGCCCTCTGTTCAGGTTCACAATGAATCCCTGCAATGCGTTAGAATGACGCAACGCGTGATGCCAAACACAGCCTAGCTCATCAGCTTCGCATCGGTGACTGGACCGCTTGTGGACGTTATCCGTCCTTGAGCGTATGCGTATTCGTATGCGTATGCGTATGCGTACCTATGTAGATCTCTTGAGCACAGGATCGATAAGCGAGTCGCTTGAACGTCGTGTTAAACCCAGTTGCGCAGATGAGGACATCGACCGGATACTCGCCTTTGCTGTTGTCACACACGACGCCCGCTGGTGTGATTTCGGTGATCTCCCTAAAAACTGTTTGCACATTATCGTCTCTTAGAGATTCAAGGTAGTTCGCTCTGGGCGTAAGCCTGCAGCACCCGACGGGCCGCTCCGGAGTCAGCACCTTCTCAAGCTCCGGATTCTCGGGCCGCTGTCACATGAGACTTTCCATGTACTGGCGCATTTTTTGTTGATGCTCGGAACCACAGTGGAAGATGTCAAACATACTGTTGGCAGCAGCCTCAGCCTTCCTGCGCATATCAAGGTGTGCCTTTTTGTTTTCGGAAAACTGCTGCTTTTCACTTTCCGAGTACTTGTGATACCGCCCAGTGGTGGTGCCACCCAGGTTGCTTCTCGTATAAATGTCACGAGCTTGCCTACTTTGTCCTTGATGGCGGGCAAGATCTGGATCCCAGATGAGCCGTTACCGATGAGACCAACAGTATTGCCTTCTAATTCGAGGCCTTCTTTAGGCCAAGCAGCCGAGTGGACAAGAAGTCCTTTGAAGCTGTCAATTCCGGGGATCGGGGGGAACTGCCACGAATTGGGAATGCCGCCGGCGTTGACAAGAACATGAGCTGTGCGATCTAGCACGTCTCCTGTGCGAGGACTGCGTCTCCTAGACCTCTTACGCGTCATCGCCGCACCCACTGTGGCTAAGCTGGCTGCTCTTTTGGGGGCAACGGTGATTCGTGTGTCGTGCACCACGCAGCCCGACATGGGACCGCTCCTCATCGAGGGCAACCTCGGCAAGCGCGACGTATCTCTGGACCTGAAATCCGAAAAGGATCGCCAGACGCTCCGACAGCTCATTCTCGACGCCGACATTGCACTTGACGGCTACCGGCCCAGTGCCCTGGAGCGTCTCGGCTTTGGTGAATCCTACTTACGCACCCTAGCCAGGCGGCGCGGGCGCGGAATCATCGTCGTTTGCGAAAACTGCTACGGATGGCACGGCCCGTTGGCCTCGCGCGCATGTTGGCAGCAGATCTCCGACTGCTTCACTGGCGTCGCCTGGGGAATGGGCGAGTTCCTGGGCCTCGAGGAACCCATTGTGCCGCTGCTGCCGAACTCAGACTACCAGACGGGCATCGCGGGTCTGCTCGGCATCCTGGCTGCCGTGAACAGGAGAGCAAACTAAGGAGGTAGCTACACCGTCAACCCGTCTTTGAACCAGACCAACCAATTTCTTCTGAGCCGAGGCAAGCTCCCTCCAGAGGTCCAGGCCAGCCTGCACGCACTGCATCCCGACTTTGCGCCCCGCCGCTCGGATGACATGGGAGCCCTCATGGCCAAGTATCTACGGACGGCATACGCAAACACGCCAGCGCTATCCAAGCCCGAGTATTTCGAGGAAAAAGAGAGTAACTATGGCCGATCGGATGGAAAGCTTGAGATGCTTAGATTCGTCACCTCCCCGGCCAAGTTGGACGTCACAGCGCTTGGATACGACATTGGCATTTGTTTCCACGGCGCGTACGCCCCTGAGTGGCCTGCTCGAAGTGCTTGATTCCAATTACACAGAAATAGCATTGCACTTCATAGTTCAGTTAAGAGACATCGCAACATGAATTTCAAGACATATTTGCAAGTTCTTATAGTAGAGCAGAGTCTTATGCTCGTTCTGGTTGCCAAGAATACATGGCTAAGAATAATACATGCATCTTAGGATAAAGTATGCTGGTAGCTGGTGCTACAGGCGCGACTTATGTCACGTCTTTCTGACAGTCCGGTTCATGTCTTGTTGGGGCTGCCCCAGCATAATGGTCTGTAATAGCTTATTAGGAAAACAATATACGCAACCTCTGTTATCTGTATCCCTAAGTACTTGCCCTACTACGTGGATCGGTGTCGAGAACAATTTGAAGTTCTCGATCATGATATATTGCCATTTGTGTTGATGTTGGTAAGGAAATAAAAATGCATATGATAGGCGGGATATAATAGATACGGGCGTTTTTGTAAACTACTGCTGCGTCCAAACTAATCATAAACTAACATTCAACCTAAGGAGCGCGTTTCGAGCATAAGACAGGGCCCGTTCGTATATGGCAGGATACCGGTAGTAGTACGCAAGGCAAGCTGCCAAACAAAGTCCAAGGGCTGCACGGCGCCATGGCCTACCAAACCCTACTTTTTGATCCTGTAGCGTCTCGCCTCTCTGAAACTTACCCATGTTCGAGATAGCAAACATACCCTTATTCTTAGTATCGAAAGGGGGATACCTGAAGCCCATAAAACGGTCGAGCCAAGTCGGCGGCGCGGCAACAGTCCGCAGGTGCGTAAAAGAAAGGAAGCCGTGTTCACCATGGAAGAATCCCATGCCCGAATCGCCCACGCCTCCGAAGGGGGCATTGGGTATGCCCGCGTGGAACAAGGTATCGTTGATGGTGACGCCGCCCGAGATGGCGCGGTCCTGGATGTACTCGGTCTCTTTCTTATCGGAGCTGAAGATGTACAGGGCCAGGGGCCTGGGGAGGTTGTTGGTCACAGCAATGGTGTCTTCGGTACTACAAGCGATAACGGGGCATATTGGGCCAAAAAGCTCTTCGGTCATAATGGCATCGGTGGTTTTCACGCCAGTGACAATGACAGGTGCCATGCCGCAGTCTCCCGAAGGACCCGGACCACAGCGAATGATGGTGCCGTGGGATTTGTCGAGGAACGATGTCAGGCGATCGTGGTTTCTTTGGTTCATGATTCGACACATCTGGCCTGCAGCAGTGAACTTTCGCGTCCAGTGCTCTAGCCGGGCGACGAAGGCGTCGTGCACGGCTGGGCCGATGAGAACGTGGTTGACACTGAGGCAAATTTGGCCCGCGTTACTGAACGTGGCAAGAGCGATGCGTTTCGCAGACAGCTCGATATCGGCGGTCTTGGTGATGATTGCAGGACACTGACCGCCCAGCTCCAGAGTTACCGGTGTGAGATGCTTTGCAGCAGCAGCGACAAAGCGAGCGATCTTTGTTGAACCTGTGAACAAGATGTGGTCGAATTTATGTTCCAAGAATCGCGTCGTCTCCTCTGGTCCTCCCGTTACCAGACGAATGCACGACTGGTCCATGTACTTCGATACCAAGGACGCCATGCTCCTCTCAGACGCTGTTGCGAGCTCCGATAGCTTGATAACGACGCAGCAACCGGCGGCAATGGCGGCAATGACGGGCTGTAATGTAAGAATAAAAGGAAAGTTCCAGGTGCCGATTACAAACATGACGCCGCGTGATTCTCTCCGGATACGTGCTCTACTAATAAACCCAACTATGTCAGAACCAGGAACAGGCCCTGTTACCGCCCATTTCTCCACGTTATTGATGTGGTCGAGAATATCCATCTTGATCCCCATTACATCGGTCGTGCAATTCTCCATTTCATCTCGTCCAAGGTCGCTTGCCAGGGCTTCGTGGATCTCGCGCTCGTTGTCTTCGATCATCCACCATAGCTGTTTCAGCTGTCACTTGCGCCATTAGATTGATTTCGTTTTGCCCGAGGCGAAATTAGCATTTAGCTCGCGGTGAATAGCAGTGAAATCCTGTTCTGTTTTTGAGTGGCCATTTTGCGTCGCGATGTTAGGTTTCCCCATGTTTGGTTTCGACTCAATCTGTTTGCTGATACGTAATTTTATTGCTGGTGAAAAGAAGCCCAAGTTATAGGGCGCATGTTTAAACCGGTATTGAGTGCAAGTGTTCGCGCAAGTGATCGGAGCAACTTGAGTTTGGTGCAGTGGGGCCTGGGGTGAAATAAATATGGGCGTCACAAACACATGTCAGGAAAAGATGACAGTACCCGCAGTGACACCGGGGTGCCATTGCAATGTATACAATCATTCCTAGCAGCACCGATCTACTGCAAAAAGGTACAAAGTTAATCTTGAGGCCTCGCAGCGTCATATAAACCAACCGTGTTTCTCCAAGGTTTACAAATGATCACGCAGCAGAGATGAATGTCCTCAACTCGATCGTTGATTTTCCCTCGACTCTTAAAGCAGCAGCCCCGAGGTTCAACGTTGCCTCCAAAACCGCACGAACCTTATGGAATGGCAGTCTCCTTGGAGGCAGCCTGGTTACAGCTTTTTTGGTGAATCAATGGCTGTCCCGCAGAGCGCTGAACGGGGGCAATGCCCCATCGAACTATGATTGGGACAAGGAGGTTATACTGGTGACGGGCGGCGCAGGCGGAATTGGTGGGGAAATCGTCAAATATTACCAGGCTTGAGACATTACAGTCGTTGTCCTAGACGTGCTCCCCCTTTCGTACACACCGGGTCAGTGAAGCTCACCTCTGAAATGGGCAATCACTCGGCAGTTCTCATTTGTGTATGTGGATGCTAGGTAAGAAGATGCATTATTATAAGTGTGACATCACTAGCTATAGCAATCTGCAAGCTGTCGCCGCACGTATTCGAGAGGAGGTTGACGAACTGACCGTTGCCATCGCCAACGCCGGCATTTGCAGGGGCAAGCCAGTCCTTGAAGCTTCCAAGGAGGCCATTGAATTGTGTGTCTTTTCTTTTCCATAAAGCCATATGTTTCTGTTTTTTGCATAGATCATCACTGACGCACGGAAGAACTTTCGGCGTCAACAACCTGGCCGTCCTTTGGACGGCAAAAGCCTTCATGCCAAGCATGATTAAAAATAACCACAGTCATTTCCTCATAGTTGCCTCGCAAGCAGGATATACCTGGACGCCCGGTCTAACGGACTATTCCGCTACCAAGTCAGCCGCCGTAGCTATCTACGAGGGTCTTTATGGCAAGGTTCGATACATCCACAAATCACGCTCTGTCCGCGTTTCCTGCGTCTCTCCCGGCGCTGTTGACACCAAGATGTTCGCAAGCATCAAGCTAGGCCTCGGTATGTCTGCCCTGATACCAGAGTATGTTGGAACTCAGATTCCGGACATTATACTCGCAGGGAGAGCGAGGAACGTTTTCGTTCCCGCCTCGGCAGGCTTCGCAGTGATTCTGCTTGCAATGCCCGATTGGATTCGCGCTGCGATGCAGGTCTTTAGTATCGGTGTGTTTGCAAACCTTACACCACATAATCCAATGAAGGGTCAGTGAAGAAGGATATAGTTAGATGTGTAAATCTAGTGATAGATTGATTATAGAAGGTGCGACATCTGCCTCGTGAATCGAGTGAATGGAGAGAAAGGATATCTTACTCAATTAGGAGCGAAATGGTCTCCTAGAAAGGCGTGTTCCACCATTTCTATCGAATGCCTAATTTGGTCATACTTGCAGGTGTGGTAATCTGCTCAATTTTGCACACAGGGCGATTTATGGAGAAGTCACGGTAGATCGTAGAGCAGCATGCGCGCCCGTGGTCGAATCAGCCTGGTCCTATGTAAACGCACACGGATCCTTCCGAGAAGGCGATCATATCATTGTCACCGACCGTCATGACATGTCTTCTTTGTCTCACACGACGAATAAATGTGGCTTTCTTCATTCAGTTCAGCTCTGTGCGTACTTGAGAGGGCGATCATCTGCTTGTTCTTCAACAGTCGCAATAATGCCCCACGATCTCAGGCATATCTGATTGGTATAATCCCAGGCAGGGGCAAGATTCCTCCGTCCAATAGTATGAAGTTAACTTCTGACCAAAGTGCTAGTCTTGCTAGATAGAACCGCGCGAACGCGTGTCGCATTTTCTACCCTGATCGACGCATACGAGAAACCAAGATGTCAGCGTTATAAAGAATCAATGTTAAAACGATGAAAATAGCGCGGAATATGCTCGGATGCACAACAGCAGCGAGCAACTTAATATGATTGCTGCAAGCCCCCCAGAGAAAACGCCAGTGTCCGCGTTGTCGTCGTCCTCAAGCTTCCAGCATGGCGGCGGGATTGCGGGATTAAGATAGGTTGGAAACGGGGCGCTAAGCCTACGTAGAAGACACTGGGACTCTCAAGATACACTGTAGAAAAGCCTGCGCCTCAGTACCAAAGCAACAGCAGGTTCGTCCATGTCAGAAAAACATGACAGACGATTCAACCAGAACTAACCAAAGTACTCAAACGCGTTAGAAATAGACGACACATAGTGGAGATGCGGAGCCGCTAGATCCGGCCGTCTGGTAGTACGTACATAACAGTGACCTCTACCCCGCCTTTGAAAAGATATCCCCTATCTATTTGCATACCTAATGAGCATGGCGGTTATATCATTCCTCAACTAGGGTGGAGTGACAGGGGCGTCGTATGCGGTAGACGAATATGGTGTTAGTCCATCCGAATTCATTCGGCCTTCGCTCCACTCCGGCTTTGCTCTCGGCCCTCACTTCGTCTCGGTTGGCAGCTGAAGCGCATACTATAAACCATCAAGCCGTTCAGGACTTTGCGTCCTATGATGCAGTTTTCTCGACCTGCAGTAGGTGTAGTAAGACAACGATCGAGTCTAGAGGAAACTAGTACTCACGCTACAGACTTGGGCCCACGGCGGTAGTAACACGTAAATCCGGGTTTCTGACTGCATTGGCGCGTCAGCGCGTCACATGGGCGTCTGCATGATCCTTGTCCAGGGGGACAGGGCTATGTTTTCACGACCAACGGTGTTCCTTGGCCAAGTGACAGCAGATTCAGTCAATCTTCGTGCTCAAATACTCGATAATGCGCTTAGCAAGTCCGGAGATAGCGAATTAAGGGCCACACTTGGAGTGCTTATTGTGATCTATGAAGGTTCATTAACCAATCATTCTTGGACTGCGGGGGTCCCCTCAATGGGGAAACATAATCCTGCTTCCCGGTACTAAACAGCGTTTCATTCGCTTGACGTACTATGATTGATATACAACCTTCCTTGCCCGACTACCCGTGGCGGTGGACTAGACTAATAAAAACACCTTGAACTCCAGTACCTACTACTCGCGTCTGCAATGCCTCCCAGGATGAAAAGTTCGAAGGGCGCCGCGTCCAAGCGAGAAGGCAGCAACAACGAAACCAGTAACACCGAGACTAGCAAGAATGAGAGCCGCAACAGTCGTGGAGGCATTTCCAAAGAAGCCAGTGTGACGAGAAAGAGGACGCAGAACCGGATCGCACAACAATGTCTTCGAGAGCGAAGAGCCGCGAGCAGTCGGCATGCTGACAGAATATTAGACACGATGGAGATTGTCGCTGAGCCTGAACAGCTGACGATGCTGCTCGAAGCGCAGGCAAAGCTCACTAGAGAGAACCAACGGATGGAGGACGCCCTCTTCCACATGCGGAAGAAACTGCTTAGTTTGAGTGACGCCGCGGCTACTGCTGCCGATGACCCTATATTTGAGGAGTTTCTTGGGCGCAGGTTATCGTCGTCGAGCAACTGGTTTTCAGAAACGCAACAAGAGAATATGCCTACTATGTCTAGAGAGTCTCCGAATCAAAACCATATCTCTTTAGCATCACCTCCACAGGAGACATAGAGTGTAGAGAGTGGTGATGTACAGGCGTTTCTCGAAGCGTCGTCGGTCGACAAAGAGCGAGGCGATAGCGAACTGTTTACGTTTGAGCAAGACTTCCATTTCCAGCAAGGAGACAGTGTCCAGCTCCAAGAGGATACAGAGTTCTTTAATACGCTGCCAGACGACCAGCAGACTTCTGCTTATAACTTCAAAATAATGCCTCTATCGACCAGTCCCTCGCCCTGGGACATATACTCTTTGGCGCCACTAGAAAAGATCACCATCCGCAGCGCTACCGAGTTCTCAAACAAAATGTCCCAAGCGGCGCTGAACTGCAAAACACGTATACTGGATACGGCCATGGTAGCACATCTTACTACGGACCAGATTACACAGTTGGTTGCAGTCGCGATTGTAGATCTGCTTTCAACATGTGCAGTAATGCAACCATACCTCTATGGAGTCAATGGCGCCGCATATATGGAGAGAGTGGTCTACTGGCGACTCGCAAAGGCAGACCGCTCTTTAGTGCCGCAACCATTCTGGCCTACGCCATTGCAGATCCATCTTCTTGGGAACACTCTCAATCCTACTGTCGATTTTCAACCCTGGCCTGAGATCCGCGACCAGAGTCTATTCATTGGACACAGGATCGATGTTGACGCGTTGTCCCGGGACCTTGTGCTTAATACAGTCGTCGAAATTCCTGAACGTGAAGTAGCGGTGCATATCTGGGGACAGTTTCAGCATCTGCACGAGGGTGCACAATCCAACTTGTCCACCGCCGACACTCAGGTACCGCGGTCGGCGAACGACAAGGGCTGGGTCTTTTGCGAGATCAACCGGGTAAACCGTGACTTTCAATCCTGGGCTGCCGATCCTGTTGAGGAGGCTCTCTCGCGGCAACTGTTGATGCGCATACAAGAATGTAGTAACGGCAACGATCTCTCCTGGTTCTTCAGCGCTGAGCAGGGCCAGCACCTCGCTGCGAGCACACGTATCGAGTCGCCCTTGGCGGCCTTGGACTCCAGGTCCCGTCCGAAAATGACAAGCCTAGCCCAAAGACTGGCCACGGTATGTGAGTGGAAGCTCAGCAAAGAATTCAAGGCAAAGTACCCGCAGTTAGACTGCTCTTCAGGTAAGCAAAGATCGACTCCGTTGGGAACGGACGCATTGCTGACTGATACAGCCGTACAGTCTGTACATCTTACGATTCAGTGTTTGTCTTGCCATAGGTTATGGTGCTAATTTAAAAAAAAAACATAACTGCTAGACTGGCCAATCTAGCATTTGTGAACTGAGTATACGAAATTACGTTGCTTTTAAAATGCAAGAAGTACACGCGTTTTTATACATATTCAAAGCATATTAGTATACAGTGGGTCAACTTCTAACTAATGAATTTGTTCTAGATTGTTCCAACGATTTGGAGAATTAATCCAACATGGATCGCAGACTGACGTGCTTGTTTCGAATGTGACGGCCAATTAGTGGCGACGAAGTTCTAGTCTCGTGTTCGCGCAATGCAACCAACCACCGGGCGCAGCCAAGGTACTGAAACACGATCCTCAGCCATCCACGCGTATTTACCCGCTAGTCTGCACAGATCTGGTATGGCAGGTTTCCCGACATTAATACGGAGAATAACTACCTATGTATTCGAGGAGTTCCCCACACATTTTTAAACAAAAGTGGGTCAGGTCAATCTATTGTGTGAAGCTTAGCCTAGGGTTAAGCAATATCGGCAGGACTTGTGAAGCTTAATCTCTTGCAAACCAGTATCGAACCGAGACAGAATGCCCCTTGGTAGGCGGATAAAATCGCGCACCCTTGTTAGATACGGAATGAAATTGTTCCCTATGGCCAATGTTAGCTGACTTGCCGACTTGGAATTAATGAAATCGGATCTAGGGCGGGTTGAGCTTTACCTAAGTAGAGGTAGTCGAGCTGGAAGCCCGATGAGGATTTGATTAATCAGGAGACATCACTTGGATATAAAGAGTAGTGGTTCAGACCAAGGAAGTGTCTGCCCTTGGACCCAACTAAGTACAGTTCATCGACTCTAATCGCTTCCACAAAAACCTTCCGAAGATACTCATCATGGTCTCCTTTACAGCCGGTCTTGTCGCCTTCGCGACCATTATGGGCGTCATCGCTGCCCCTGTGGATGGCCCCGCCGACGTCACTATCTCGAAGCGCAGCAGCCCTAACAGCTCGGGCACCAACAATGGTTTCTACTACCAGTTTTGTGAGTGACGATGTCGTTTGATGCAAGAGTATTCTTACTAATCTGACATACAGGGACTGATGGCCAGCGTGGCACCGCAACTTACACAAACAAGGCGGCTGGCGGGTACTCTGTCACATGGTCGGGCATCTCCGATATGACATCTGGCAAGGGCTGGAAGTCTGCACAGCCTAGGAACATTACGTTCACTGGCAACGTCAAGGCACAAGGCAACTTCTATCTAGCTGTCTACACCTGGTCGCAGCACGGCGAAAACTACGTAGGTCATCCATTTGTCACCAAGTGGCATTCATGCTCGCTAGACTCTTGTCTTACACTTTGAATAGATTCTCGAGGACTACGGCTCGTACAACCCGTGCAGCCAAGGCAAAACGGTTGGCACTATCACCAGTGATGGCAGCCAATACCAGATCTGCACGGTCGACCGCGGAAACAACTACATTCAGAACTGGTCCATCCGCCAGAACAAGCGCTCCAGCGGTACCGTCACCACCGCAAACCACTACAATGCGTATGCTGCGCACGGCTTGAACCACAACCCTCTCAGCGAAGCCGCTTATCAGATTGTATCGACTGAAGGATTTGGAAGCTCAGGCTCGGCTGACATTACAGTGTCTTAGTCGTTATATTATCACTATTCGTTTCTACAATTCAGACTGTACATGTTATCCTAGCCCAGAATTTTACTCTTACACTATCATTTGATGAACAAAGGAGACTACATATTGCATTGCGTGAAGTCTTAGAGTTTGATAGTAGGTCGATTCAGTAGCGTCTTGTCACGATACTCTGAACTGGAAGACCAGGAAAGCCTTGCCCTCGGAGATCCATCGGAGATCTACCGGGTGCCACTCGGGCTGATAAGGCTACAGTCACGTGCACAGAGCATTTAGCCCCGCATAAACATTACGCAACTTCAAAGGATTCGTCTCAACTCACTCTGATTGATATGTTTTGTGCCTATCTGCGACACACCTTACCACTCCAGAATTCTAAGCGAAGGAGGAACATTGAGGCGTTCGGCAACGTATCTCAGTTTTGGAAAAAGCGGGGTACATTAGCTTGCCACTAAGGCTGATAAACCTGGCAATGATAAGCATGCATTCAGCCGACAGCTTCTAGGGATCAAAGTTCCTCGCCTTTCGGAGCGTCTTATCTACTTATTGCTAGCATCGATTGGTGCTTCATTCTTAACTCCATCCTGCTGACTTACTATGATCTCTCCTACAAGCACCGTCGACAGTTCACGTCCCAAAAAATATCTCAGCACTTGTGATAACTGCAGAACCTGGAAAGTGCGTTGTCTAAGTTCGTAGAATCCTGCTCTGATCTCTCCCGCACCCCGATGCTTACTAGTTACAGAAGAGAACCAGCAAGACGAGAAATGCATTTTATGTACCGTATGCCAAGACTCTTCTGTCATACATATTGGTCAATATATTTGGCTTACTTAATCACGACAGAAACGAGGGCTGGGATGCGTTTTCTCGCCCGCAAAAGCAAGAAAAACCCAGGCATCAAGGCCTGCAAGGGGCAGACATGCTGGACAGGGTCACTCGCGATCATCGACCATTCCCTCCCCCACAAATGTTGATGCGCAAGTGAACGACGCTCATGATAGTATAACCGTTACTACTCAAACGCCCACCTCTTCACATGCGCGGAACGCTTCTGTGTCAACCCAGAACATTCCCGGAGACCAAACAGTGTCCGAGTCAACCCAATATAGACAGAATACCGACTTGTATGTTGACCGAATTCTATTCGCTGTGCGACCCACAGGAACTCCTGAACAGGTGAGATCTCGGTATCCCGCGGGGCGATATAGCGTGTCGCGACAAACGGTGAATGAGCATGGTGAGCATCGACTGGGAGGACAGTAAGGAATCTTGGAACTGACATATGTATCAGTCCCAAGTTCGAGTCTCGCATTCTTTTCCGACAACGCTGTCGACAATCTATGTCTGAAGCTTGGCCATGACAAGCTCAAAACGTTGGTAAACACCTTGGAAGCACAGATGCAGGCCCGTTGGGAGGCTCCTACTTCTCAACCCCATGGACGACCTGACGACAATGATGATTCTCCTGAGCGTAGATCTCAATACATCCAATGTACGCACATTCCTCGTGTCAGATGCATATTTTTTCTCGAGCTAATCGAACTATAGCTTATTTTGAACAAGTTCACATGATATACCCGTTCCTGGATCGAGATTCATTCGAGGAGAGGGCTTCATCTTTCAATCCCCAAGACTCAGGTCCAACTCATGAGACATGGTTGGTTCTGTATCACACTGTGCTTAGCCTCGGGTGCATGTACCATGACGGGGGTTCATTTGAGCCTGCAAAGGGCCTAGCATGGTACTACTTCAGTCTCGCGTTCCACCATTTCCAAGATGTGTTGATGTGTAAAGCGTCTTTACTCAAAGCCCAGGTATGTCTCAGTCTTGCTCAAGAGCTTTTATGCTAATTGTACCAGACAATGACAGCAATGGTAAGCCGACACAAGTATGAATACAGTCATCGCCAATATTAACCGCAACTTGACTCTAGGCAGTATTCGCTCTGAATTACTCAAGTCTGCAGATCGAGACGTTGTGCATCTCAGAAGCGGCAAGGACAGTCATGACTCTGGGTTTGCACAAGAGAAACCTTGACCGCGGCCCATATCAAGAAGGTAGAAGGATATTTTGGGTTGTATATTGCTTGGAAAAAGAGTACGCTTTTAACTCAAGCAGCGCTTCTGTATGTCGTGTGGGCCTTTTTTTCCACAAGAAATCGATTTGCTGATTGGTACACACTAGTTGATATCGGATATGGATATCAGCTGTCCGCTTCCTACAGATTTGCCGATAAACACCGAAGGTTTGGCCTGGCTTCCTTGCTGGGCACGCTACTCGAGGATTCTGTCAAGAGCATATGATTCCCTCTTCTCGGTATCTGCTACCTTGATTCCAACAGAAGAATGCTTTCGGCGTATGGATTGCATCAACGACGAACTGCAATCATGGCTAAACTCGATTCCCGATAGCCTGCGTCCCGGTTCGTCATTGCATCAACATCGATCCAGGCCTCTGTATATGCAAGAAATGGTATTGAGGATCCACTTCTCATATTACAATTTGAGAATTTGTATATCACGAATAACTCTCAATCGGTGCCCGAACAAAGGATCGCCGCGAAGATCCGAAAACGAGAAGTGTTTGTTGACAACAGCACGCGCGATCATCGAGTCAACCTATATGATCGCCATGAATCCCTTCACTCCTGTCTGGTAAATTTTTCCAGTTAGCAAACTCACGTGCGATAAACCACTAACGGTGAACAGGATACTCGGAGTTATGCCAATGGTTGCAATGTTCATTGTCTTCGATTTTGTTGTTCACAACCCGCTACATGCTGAGACCAGGAGAAATCTGTCATACCTTGACATAGTTGCTGCCCACTATGCCAGACTCGACTTATTAGCGCAAGGCACCATCCACGATGCCAGGGTTGCAGATTTTACCTCCATCGCACGCCTCTACGTTGAGTCTTTGACCGGAGACTCAGCAAATACCGCTGATAATACTCTTGCAGGTGCCGGATCCGACATTCGCAGAGAGCCACCTAACGACAGTTCACTCGGAGTTGGAAATCCTGATTTCATGTCGCAATATGAGTTTGAGCAACTGTCGGCCACAGGGGCCAACAGTATGGTATGTTTCCAGTTTTTTGTTATCGTCGAAGCCCCTTTCTCGCAACTCTTACGTCAAGATTTCTCCCTTATCTTTCGCATTGCGACAAACCCGTTGACGTTTTCTAGATGAATGAGATGGATGAATGCGAAATCTCCCCCACTGGAACAAGTTTTCTGGATTTCCCAGGCCCAAGCTCTTCATTGTATATGACCATGCCAACGTCTGGGTATGACATAGCTGGCTTCTTCGGTGATTCTCTCGGCTGGATACCGGATGGAAATCTCGAGCTATAGATCGCTATCTCAGATACCTTGAGAGCTACGCCATGGTGAAGGCATCAGGCTAGCGATGTGCGATACCCAAGTTTGAATCGTACTCCCGGGTCGAAGGACAGTGATTGAAAACGTACAATGTGCAACCACTCCAACATTCTGCCGAGTAGTGATAGTAGAGAACTATTTGTATTTTTTTTAAGGAGAGCGTTTAAGATGCACTCGAAGTAGGCTGTCGGCGTTGTTTACCGGAGATATATGGGCTAAATGAGAAGAGCGCGAAGTATTGCACGCTTTGTCAAAATCCTGCAACTAGGCGTGCAAGGACCATTGAAAAAAACAATACTTATAATATTTCACGGCGAGGAAAATATAGGGGCACATTTTGTATAAATCTTCAAATATCACAATCACAAATGTCTTTGGGTTAGCAGCGGTTGCCGACGACGTATGACGTGCAGCCAGAGAATTCTTGAGAAAGAAGAAATGAGAGACGTGGCGTACAAATTAAATGCCATCACATGATAGCGCTTAAAGTCAAAATGTTCATCTACACATGAAATACAGCCGTCCCTCCTAGATATCTAAACCATAGTCTCCAAAGGGACAACGCACAGACCATCATTCTCAGTTGATAATAGATTCATACCCTTGATCCGGGTCCCCAAAGTACCACGCCTTATCCTTGCCCTTAGTCTCCATAATTGTAAACCCGTTTCCAAAGTACGCGAATCTATTCTGATTCGTCGGAGTCCATTCAAAGTCCTCCCACCGTGGATTCATGAGCATGTGGAACCAGTGCAGTCGGCTGCCAGGGTGCACCAACGCCGGTCCGTCTTCCTTCCCTGGTTCATTTTGTCAGCTAACAGGACCCGCATGATATCGCAAATAGAAGGCAGAGCTGCTCTTACCTCCTTTCAGCCAGGATCGACACTTTGCATTCCAGACTGTACGCGTCAAGAAAGTGTCTGCGTGTTCAATAAAGTCGTCCAGTGCCTTTTGAGATGGCACGACGGATTTGTAGCCTTCTGTTTGCGCCTTGTGAAGGAGCTTGATGACGTATTTCGTGATGTGCTCGATGCTCGGGAGTGCGGAGCCGTGGGATAGCGGTCCGTTTGGTCCCATGTAGACTTTGTTGTATCGTCAGCTTAGCCTATTTACAATGACAAAGGGGAGTTTTGTGAAGACTAACGGATGTAGTTTGGGAAGTTTGGTACGGCTAGTGAAAGGTACGCTGTTGGTCGCGAGCTCCATTGGTCGCGCATGTCGATGTTGTTTCTGCCGATGATGGGGAAGCGCGGTTTCCAGGAGACGTTGAAACCGGTGGCGCAGACAATTGCGTCTAGTTCGATGATCTCGCCTGTTGCGAGCTGGATACCTTGCGGGACTACTTTTGTGATGGAATCGAATACCACGCGAACGTTCTTCTCTGTTAGCGCTTCGAGATAGCCGACGCCTGGTGTTGGTCGCCTGCAGCAGAGTTAGCACACCGTCTGAATCAAGGGTTTCGTTTGTTTCCCCACCTGCATCCCACACCAAAACTAGGAACAATGCGATCTACGATAAGATTGTCCTTGCCTAACCGGGCACGCATCATTTTGGTCAAGTCTTCTCTCGCCTGGGCTTGCTGTGGCGAATCGTGGAGCGCCTGAGTTGATTCGTTAGTGGACAATGCTGCGTTCGGGCGCGATTGGTAACATACCGATGCAAATCCACCGTTCAAATCTGTTTCCATCGCTTTCCGATACGCAACCAGCTTTTCCGGGTGCTCTGTAAATTCGCGCTTTTGTGCTTCCGTGTCTTCAAAGATATTAGTCAAACCTCAGTGGCGTATGATCTTCTTGATGCATACAATCAAAATTGGCTCCATTAGGGCCGGCGAAATCTTGGCCCAATGTAGTTGAAATCCAAGTAGGACTCCTAATAAATGTCGCAAGGTGCGCAGCCACTTTTTCAATTAGTATCCTGGTTCAAAATGCTTATTTAACGAGACGTACCTGGCTGTATTGCGGTCACGAGCTGTATTCCTGACGAGCCGTTTCCAATCACGGCAACTTTCTTTCCTTTCAAGTCCACGTTGTTGTCCCAAGCTGCTGAATGCAACAATGAGCCTTTGAAGGAGTGTAGACCTTCAATTGCCGGCCACTGCCAGTTGCTGAGAGATATTAGCGTATGAACTCGACAATGAAACCGAGCGCTTACTTTAAAAACCCACCACCGTTGATCAGGAAATGACACCAGTCTTCTACTGTTTCCCCAGTCGATCGAGAGCGTATCTTGACGAGCCATTGACCTTTCTCTTCATTCCAGCGAGCCTCAACGACTTCACTGTCATATTTGATAAATTTCTCTAGGTCAAACTTCGTTGCCGTGTCACGGAAATACTGAAGAATCTCTGGTTGTGAAGCATAACTGTAATTGAAAATTAGAACATAGCCTTCCTCTCATTCGGAAACGTCCTCACAATTGAGACCAGTTGGGGTTTGGAGCCCATTCATACTCGTAGATATGCGCAGGGATATCACAAGCACACCCGGGATAACTGTATCCTCGCATTAGTTACAATTCGATATTCGGTTGGATAATACGGACGTATTCTCAAACCATGTTCCTCCAAGCTCTGGGTTCTTTTCGTAGATCTGGAGATCGAAATTCTTGAGATGCCTTTCCGTTTTGTAGGCAAGGTCTAATCCGGTCGCGCCAGCCCCAATGCAGATAACGCGCAGTGGACGCGAATATCCCAGATCATTCTCCTCGACCGTGTATGCATGATTGCCGTTTGTGGCAGAGGCAGGAATGTAATCAATACTTCCCATTGTGGCGCTTTCGTCGAATGCTCGCTGTGTATATGGCCGGCCAGTCGATTCAGCAGGCAATGACAGCCAAAGCAGACTTGGTTGTCGGATTGAAATGCTTGCTTAGTTGACGGGCAATGCGACTCTTGCTTTTTTATTAATGATTTCTCAAAGTGAAGGAGAAGAAAGTTTATGAGATGAATGTTTTAGTAAGTAGTTATCCGAATGTGGAGCCATTCGTAGAGTTCGACGTTTTACGGATGTGTTAGTCAACCTTGCTGTATAGACCGAGATGCGTGCCGAGAAATCGGAAATTCCGAAGCACGGCAAGTGTTAGATCACGAGATCCTTCGTATTCACCCCCGCAGCCCAGTGGCAAAATCCCATCATCATGAGTCTCAAACCAGCAGTCATGCGACATTCTTTCGCGGTATCAGTGCCATGTAAATGCGGGTTCTATCTAGCCTAATTAACTGAAGATTATCTTTTAAGATGATAGCTAAGATCCAGAAGTTCACACGTGAGTTGAGCGAATGCTTGGTTTTATGACTGTTACCCTAGCATGACGTTATCTGCATCACTCAAGTGACGCTGAGAATGTGCTGCGGCAATTTTAAGCGTTGTTCATTGACGTAGATTGAGTTCTGAGGAAATCTTACACAACAAAAATCACATCTCCGTCTATATCACTTCCAGAACATGTCAAGGCTTACGTATTGGACAATAAAATTCTAATTCTTTTCTCTAAAAACGCTCTCAGCATTCTTTCCTCATACCTTCGCATCTCTGACTCTACTCGGACTGCTAACTTTGAATGATCCGTGTTGCAGGCGCTGAAAAACTCGTTGAGGATCGTATACGTTGGCGACTTCGGTCAAGTACCTCCTGCTCGCTTCACCAAAGCTGTCAAAAACATTCTGCCATTGGGCCGAATAGTTTGGAAACAAGAAAGGGTGGTACAGCTGTCGCTTCCTGGCCTCTTCCTCGACACGTCTAATGATTGTTTGCTGCATCCTAGTTACCTCGTTGTCGTAATTCGCATCTGAGGTTACAAAAATCAAGAGGAAAGATATGAGAGGTCCATCTGCGCCCTCCAGCCCGAACATGTTGCCAGCAGGGTTTGTTGTTCGAGGGATGGCGTGGAACTCCATTGTCGAATTGATGTGTTTTGACTGTGGCGAAGCCTCCTCAACGAAGACATCGTAGGCAAAGTTAAGAAGGTCTTGGTCAAGCTTGATGGTCAGGGTAGCAATCGCTGCACGATATCCTACACCGTCCTGTAGGCCAGCGATGTTTTCAGCCATGGTTGTATAATCAGTCATTCCCAGCGAAGACTCAATGGTCGGAACTTTGCGAAGCTCATCAAACAAAGGCAGGTCGGCTTGAGGTTCAGTGTAGACCATGTATTGAATCAGTCGAAGTGGTCCTTCATCATAGGTTGCGATAAAGATGGTGTGGCCTTTCGGATCCTCTTCTTGCCTGTTCACAAAGCCCTCGTAGGCCGCTATAGCTTGCCTGGCATGAGAACTGTCAATCATCGTGCGGCCTCCCCAAAATCGATTATAGGGATATGCCTCCAATTCAAAAGTTGTGATGATGCCAAAGTTGGAACCGCCACCTCGCAGTGCTCGATAGAGTTTTAGCTCACTTTTTGAACTTGCAGTGACCACTCGACCATCAGCGAGTACGATCTCGAAAGATCGCACATTATCGATACCCCAGCCGTGCCGCGCTGCGTAGAAGGAAATGCCTCCTGTGAAAAGTTAGTTGACACGCATCGTCAGCAGGGGGAACGCTGTAGGTACATACCTCCAACCAGATACCCGCCGACTCCAACGTTATAGGACCTTCCACCCACAACAATTAAACCTTCCTTCTCTAGTCGCTGGTACACGGAACCCCAGGTATTGCCAGGACCAACAAGAACCGTCCCTTCATCCCTCTTGATCTTGAACGTGTCGAGCTTGACCAGGTCGAATTGTATGCCTCCCTCAATACTAGATTGTCCGGCAAAGTGACCGTGACCACCGCTCTTCACATTGAAGGGACATCGCTCTTTCGCACAGAGAGCCACTGCTTCGCCAAGCTCCTTCGCCGAATGTGGTTGAAAGAAACATCGGGGTTTCAGGGTCTTTTGATATCCGGACCAGTAACTATTCTGAAGTGCCTTGTACCGTGGATGATGCTCCTCGAATACTTGTTCTGGGAAACGCTTGATAAGCTCGGAAACCTGCAGTCGCGTCAGGATACCGCCAACTACAAGCAAAGTCTCCAAGGAGATGACCCACAATAGGTTCTGTGAGAGCCACTAAAGGAGCGTGCAGAGCGTCGTTCACAGTTGGAGTCGACTGCGGGGTTAAACTGATTGTGTTTAATTGCGCGGTCAACTGTGAGAGCATCTTGGCTATTGTTGATATTGTTCGTTGCAAATGTAAAAACAAATAGCGACTGGGCACTCGGGTCAACTAAGTCAAATGTACAGACTAGAAAGCGTTTTGTAATGGGGAATATTTCAAGTGGGCCACTACAAGCATATTGGTATTCTGCTAACTGTTGCCACAGACCACCCTTGTTTGGAAAAGGTCGAGATACGGAGTTATGAGTATGATCCGGGTTCTGCACCGGAACTTCCGTTTTGGGATATTGGCGCAAAAGCACATTCGGGACATGGCGAGCCTGTGAAATTGAAACTTTATCATCGGGTTGGCCCCTTTCAGACGTAAGCTAAGACATTGATCATGTCGTAAGATTATCGCATGATCACTTATACAATCTGTGACAGCTGCAGTTTACAAAATGGCGACATTGAGAAAGTTAACGCGAACTGGGCGCGCTGATTACGATCAGCCGCAGTACAACCAAGACTGTTGCGAATCCGGACTCGACGTCAGGTGGATATTTGATCAGAACACTCTCTACCGCGGTTAGACTATCGATCGGGCGCCCAGAACTGACTAATTGACTTTGCCGCTGGACAGATTACATGCCGAACGCCAAGTGGAGAACGATCCGGAAAATCCTATAGCTTATCATTGGGTTTCATTTGCGGAATTTCCTAGCGTCCTGCTACCGAAGATCTAATACGCTTTTGGCGTCCCTTTCCTCAACTACGGCTAACCTACCAGAGTTTGGGGTAGCGTCTAATAGTTTGATGTTGCAAAGTGTTATTGGGCGGTCAGCACGATGTCCGGCAAACTCCTTGAAAGGAACGGATGATGAATGGATAGCAATCTTCCCTGCAGAAGCGCCACTAATAACACGCGGATGGTAGTCTACTCGCTTGATACAAGAGGGTGCGGAACACTCTATCAACTCTTTACACCCTCGTCTGCATTGCCTTCCAACGAAAAACACATTTTATATAAAATTCTTTTTGGATTTAGACTTTGTGAAATATGGGTTTTGACTACGCTTCGGAGAACGCACAATACGACGTTCCACTTGTGCAAGGTCTTGTTGAACCCTGTCACTACTACGGTATCACCAATTCTCTCCCGTTCTGGGCCAGCAAAAGTGCTTACATGTTTGACAGGTCGCATTCTTGGTACAGACCCGGCAGAGCAAGACAAAGATGTCCAATTATTTGCTGGAATTCTGCGCGTCATTCCAGGCAAGGTAGACTATTACGGGCCCACAGATCATGAGGAGTCTGGCATCGTTATCAGAGGTATGTTCGAATAGGCCTAGAAACTCGTTTTTAACTTACTGATTCTACCAGGGGAACTTGACCTTGAGGACGAGACAGGAAAGAAGGTCACACTGCACCAAGGAGAGTCATTTTTCATCAGGAGACAAAGTCGGATCATTTTCTCTGCTAAGCGATTTGCCCTGGTATTCAAATGCAGCTCCTATGCTGCAGGGCATGGAAAGTCTAAAGAGCTGATTGTGTAGTTGTAGAAGTTAAGCATAATGAAATCACAATGTACCATCTACCCAACGCCATAATTCTGAAACATGTATTACCATTTTCTTTCTTGAACATGACATTTTCTACCAGGTGGATTATGTGCAGCGTAACTAAATCTAATGATTGCAATGTGTCTGAAAATATCTGAGCCAACTTGTACCTTATGTGGAAGGATTTCACTTCACAAAAGACAAGGGTGGATCGAATGCCGAGACTTCCGGTAAATAGAAAAGATGAAATCTTTCATCCATAAATCCACCATAATATCAATCAATGAAAGTTCGGGCTTTAAGATTTATTAGAAGAGCGACAGCAACTAATTCTCTGTTGATATACCACTCTAATCAGTTCTTAGTTACACAACAACTATACACGATCCTTTTCTCAACCACACCAACAATCAACGTTCACAGTGATTGTACTCTCTTGAATCGGTAACTTGCATGAGTGGCCTATGAAAGCCCAATTAAAGAAGACTTTGCATAGGCTTTCCGACCAAGTGGTCTTTGTGCAACTGTACAAACTCTTGTATAGCGTTTGCGTAGTCGTCTATGTGCGCTTCTGTCGCGCAGAGGGTGAGTGGTGTATAACCCCTTACAGCAATATTGATGTTCCTCGCTAGCATGTGGTGGTAATAGAGCGACTGCCACTTGGCAGCATCGGGTCCTGAAAAGCGCACGTTGAGCATGCTTCCTCGTGCAGTGATGAACATTGGTGGGAGGCTCAGCTTTGTCGTAGTGTCCTCGTCAAGCTGTACAGTAAGACCGTGCTTGAAGCTGTCGATCTCGACAAGGTTCGAAGAAGCGTTTTTGACTGTGTCAGGATATATACCATTGTCGATCAAGATCTGCTGGACTTTGGCCTTCAAGATTTCGCCGAGCTTATTCAGTCGATCGACTGCATCTGCGTTGTAGATGTCTAGACCCACAATACCCGCATGCATACTGAGAGCGTTATTGTTGTAGGTACCAGGATGGAACAATTGGTTCTTGGAAGGGTCGAAAAGCTCCATGATATCTCGGCGACCTCCAAAGGCTCCAAAGGTCATGCCGCCACCTACGTACTTGCCGAGCGTCACCATATCTCCTCGCACACCTTGTGTGGCGCTGTAACCGGAATAACCCAGGCGCGAAGACATGACCTCATCGAATATCAGGAAAGCACCGGTCTTGTCGGCAGTATCGCGAAGGAAGTGTAGGAATGCTTTAGTTGCAGCCCTGCATCCACCAGATCCTTGGACAGGCTCAACCAGGATCGCAGCGAGACTGTCCTTGGGGAGGCCTTCCAAAACCGCACTTGTCTCAGCGATGTTGTTGTAAGGTGCATATACAAAGTCATGAGGCAAGTTCATGCAAGGCGCAGTTGAACCTTGAATCAGCGCCATTGGGAAGACAAGTGTACTGCCATGGTATCCACCGCTGAAGACAAGGATCTTCTTTCTTTTGGTAATCGCAAGAGATGCAGCCAGAACTGTAGTATTCGCCTCGGTGCCAGAATTGGTAAATCGAACAAGCTCAATGCCTGCTGGACCGAACCGCTGACAGACCTTTTCAGCAAACTCTTTCTCTTTCTGGGAGTTTCCGCCATAGTTCCACCCTTTTGACATCGCGACCTGAACAGCTTCCGCTATCCGGGGCTCGGAGTGACCGTAGATTCCGGCACTGAATTCTCCCAGTAGGTCGATGTATGTGTCGCCATCCAGAGATGTGAGGGTGCCGGATTTTGCAGACGCCCATGTCAATGGAAATGGGTCTGCATGAAGTACTGTCCTAGTATTGCCTCCTGGAAGATGGGAGTGGGCATCTTGGTGTGCTTTCAAGGAACGTGAATTCCGTTTTGAGTACGCTTCATGTGCGCCTTCGAGGGCACGGTCAACGTAGGTTGTTGTTGCCATTTCGTCGTATGCAATCGTGCAAGAGTATTAAATGATGAGTTTTCAAAGTCGTAGTCAAATTCAGATCACGTATACTTCATGGATATATGTGAAGAAACCATCAGCATACAGCTATACCCGCGAGTAACTACCGAAAAAGTAAGGCTGTGTTAGCGATTCTTTGAGGCTCTGCACCTAACCATTCGGCAGCAGGTTGGGCTCCGGAATTTCCGTATAGGCCCCACTATTGCAGCATGGATAACGCATATCGGATTTCCGTCGGATTTCTTAGCTTCACTGCGTCGCCGCAAGTCACAGAACAGATTGTGGCTATCTGCGATATGTATGAGTTCGCCAGACATTCTATTTGCACACAATTTGACCTTTCTCTCTTCTTATTATTTCCTTAGCGCGCCACCTCTGCACTCTTTGTGCTCACTATCTCATTCTTTTCGCTTCCTCGCTGTCCTCTCGCAGTTTATTTACTAGTATGACAGGCCGCAACGTCAGATGTTATCTTCAGCTTGCTGTTGCTTCAGCTCGCTGTGCCGCCTTCTGCAGGATTTGGGTGTATTGACTCTCCGTTATCAGCGGATGGAACATCTTTACTCAAGGCGTCCACTGTATCGAGGTCTTCGGAGGGCTAGCGCTTTATCACACACATCATATCTTCTTAACCTTATCTTCGTTGGGAGAAGTGAGCGCCATGAGATTTGACTTATGTCATGTAGGTATTGACTGGTTTAATGTTCATGTTGGCGCGTGTAGAGTTCACAAAGTCTTCTCTTTTCTACTCCTGTACGATCTATTTTCTGTAGTACTGGTTCTCAACCATTTCCCATTGGGTATGGTGGATTGGGAGCATTCTATAGAGCTAGAGGAAAGGATAGTCTTCATTCCCTGAATGCGATATCGACGTAATCAAGATTGCGTCCCTTGCATATGGCGTTGGCAACAGCGTCGGATGTCGCACTCACCTCCACACGGAAGCTCCGATTGCTTATCATGCTGAGGGACCGAAAGCTGGTCACTTGATAAGTAGCTTCCCGGAAAGGCCGATAGCGCCAGCCAAGTGCACTAAAACCCCACAATTTCCCCAGATGAAGGCACTAGCCTATATAGCTTGCTGTTCGTGACTACAGATGTATAGCTTGTCTTCTCAAGCCTGTTCATCTCTCAATATCCCTTTTCCCTTATTTATTGGAGATTTTCTCAACAATTACATATATTCGCAGACATGGCTGGACAGATCGCCTCACCTGTCGACAGTCAACCATCATCGGAGAAGAAGCTCGCATTGGAAGATGGTGTTACTGGTGACTTGGTGTCGATACCAAGCATTGGCGAAAACTATGCAGTCACTGAACTCGATGACGAACGCTTTAACCTTTGGAGTGTGCTTGGTGTCCAATATACCACAAGTGCCACCCCATTATCGATATGCGGATTTATGCAGTTCACTCTGGCTGTAGGCGGAAGTCCTTTCTTCTTCTGGGGTTTCCTGGTTGTGGTTGTGTTGCAAGGACTGCTTGTTCTCAGTTTCGCAGAGCTAGGCTCGTCTTTCCCACACGTCGCAGGTATGAGTTTTTTCCCCGGGATTTCGCCGGCTTCTGCTGACAACTGAATTCAAGGTCAAACCTATTGGACCTCCGTACTTGCCCCGCCCAAATACAAGAAATTTCTCACCTACTTCAACGGTATCATGACCATATGGGCTTGGATTTTTGGTCTCACGGGTGGCTACCTCTTGAGTTCACAATTTGTGGTTGCCGGAGCCTCGATCCTTAGCCCGTCGTATACCATTCAGCACTGGCACTTGTACTTGCTAGCGATATGCATGGCGCTCGTCAGCGTTATTCTCAACACTGTCCTGATCAAGATATACCCACTTCTCAACAAATTTGCCCTGTTCTGGATCAATGGAGGGCTCATCTACATGCTCGTAGTTTTGCTTGTCAAAGCACAACCTAAAGCATCAGGGTCGAGTGTTTTCGTTGATGTTGTCAACCGTACCGGATGGAGTTCAAATGGGCTCGTGTTTCTGATGGGCCTTTTTCCCGGTCAAGCAGCCCTTGCGTTGCCAGACGCCGTGACCCATATGTCAGAAGAAGTGCCAAACCCACAGAGACGCATTCCGCAGGTCATGGTTGGCTCATTCCTCCTGTCCAGTATTGGTGGTATAATCACCATTGTGGTCGTTATGTTTTGCATCATCAACCACGACAACCTTCTGCAGCCATTGGGTGGTCAGCCAATTTTACAGATATGCTGGGACGCCTGGAACAACGAAGCCTGGGTCATCACTGTGGACATTATCTTCATCGCGACATTTATGCAGGCTTCCATCTCTACTGTCACCTCCATTAGCCGGATTGTATGGTCGTTCGCGAAGTCAGGCGGTCTTCCATTCGTTGCCTGGGTTACCCATGTAAATCCTAAGATGCAGCTTCCAGTGAATGCGATCCTGCTCTGTGCAGGCATTGGCATCACATTGGACACACTGCAATTCGCGCCTTCATACGTCCTCAACGCTCTATATGGTTCGGGAGTGATCTGCGTGCTGTTTTCCTATGGAATACCTCTCACCCTTCTATTGGCGCGCGGACGACAAAGTTTGCCACGGAATCGCTATTTCAGCCTTGGAAAGTTCGGACCTTTGGTTAATATCATGACGTTAGTCTGGCTTTTGTTGTCTGCTATTGTGTTCTGCATCCCTCTTAGTTATCCTGTCACCGACGATGCGATGAACTGGGCTCCCGTTGTGGGAGCAGCTACTATCGTAATCTCCCTTATCAACTGGCTGGTTGTGAGAAACACGTATGAACTTCCTAAAGCTTTCTTATTTCATCGTACACATGGTCTTCATAACGAAGGCTCATAAAATAGCTTCCCAACTTTGAATAATATCTCAATGAGCTAGTAGAAGAATGAACGGTTTCAATGATTGAGGTCAAATATTATGCTGATAAATGGTAAACACATTCAGCGATGCTGTACTTCAAACTAATTATAGTCCCCATCAAAACAGCTTCGATGGATCATCTCCTAGTGGCAATGGTTCGATTACCTGCTAAAGTTTCAAGATCTAGTTATTCTAACAACGCCACGTTATCGAAGCTTCGAACCCACATGTCAACTGCTATTGTGATAGTAAATACGTATTAATAAAATGATTTTAGAATATTGATTACTCCATCTGCAAAAAGAACAGGGTTACGCATATAGGAGAACTTAATTTCTCGACGTATATTCTGCTTTCGTGATGCAATGGCTATTCTAAATCTAGTCAAGCAATGTCTATGGTTAGAGTGGTATGGCCCTACGTAGATATATCCAAGTAAATACATCCAAAGAACGACTGAACAATATCGCTCACCAATGCTCGGTACGAAACAAAGATGGTTGGTGGTACGTGTAGTAGCTCATCGTTGCTATGGGTGTAACTGACAGAACATTTGGATGGTTAAGCACTACAGATGTCACATGGCACTTAGTACCTCTTTTTCAGAATAGCACAGGCATGTGCTACCACTCTGACCGCCGTGCCATTAGCCCTGAAGCCAGGTGAGATGACTATGTTGGATATCTGCCACCGTGTCGCCGCTACTTCTAGTTTTCGTATGAATACTCGCCTTCTTCTTAAGATGTAAGGATAGGTATCGCCCGTCCTACAACGGATTTTGCTATGCAGTATACTGTACCTTTTTATGCACGGGGTGGCCTAGCTTGAGAGGGCTCAGTCGTGTTCAGCCGGTGGTATCTAACGATAGCGCAAAAAGACAAGTACACAATATCTCCAAGTTTACCCAAAACCTACATGCGTCGGATGCGAGATACTCAGCAAGCATGAGGAGGAGTATATATCAATTCCATGCTAACGCATCTATTACTATAGTTGTAGGTTGGGTTTCGTGCGGGCGCCACTCGTGAGAAGCTATATTGCTCGATGCGCAATGAGAGGGTGTACGAACTAAAAGAAGCTATGAGGTAATTCGTGGATTTTCATAACATATGCAAGTACATACTGTATGTATGAAAACTTCAACGAACTAGCCATAAGTGCTAAGAAACCGCCTTATAAATGCATCTAGAAATGCGATGTGAGATCTGCAAGAGACCGATAGGGTTATGAGTGAGACGTAAAGTAGGTCCGAAATGAGACCTGTTGGCCATGCACTAGCAATGTCGTGTCGAGGTTGCACAGCCACACATGTATGCGTACTAGCTTCTGCATGACGCAGTTCCGTCAAATCATGAGTGTCGTACCACAAAGACCTTACCGACGGCTATGACAATAATGCTGTTTCTAGTCGCGGTGTATAGTAGCAGGAAGCTTGATGTGCGTCACAGAAGTAAGCATTGCGTAACTATGTCCGGGCACATTTCGTGAAATCATAATGCATTGCTACTTATATACATGGCTATTGAGGCTAGCTTAGTCTAATTAATCTGTTAGCAAGCTGCTTTCAGCATCACCCGGGAGGGTAGTGGAAATACTAACTGAATCGAAAGTGGCCATCTTCGTTGGTGATACGCTCACCCAGGTTGATGTCACGGGTCTCTTCGTTGCCATCGACATCCCTCAAGGTGGCGCGGAGAACAGGAACGTTATCAGCACCTTCCAAGGCAAAATGAGCGTTATCTGCTGAATCGGCAAAGCCTTGACCGTCCCAAACAAAGTGACCTTGAGAGTGTCAGCGAAGCCGAATTGAACACTAGAAGCAGATTACCATTGTCGTTGCCGATACACGTATTGAGATCGATCTCGGAGTCGTTCCACTCGCCGTCAGCAGTTCGGAGACGAGCCCTGAGGATGTGGCCGTCGTCAATACGAATGTCCTCAGCGGAGTGGTAGAAAGTCATGGTGAAAGAGAACTTTGGGAAATTTTCTTGAGTGCGGGATTGCTCAAACTTGATGGATGTTGAAGAAAAGGTGGGCAGATAGGAAGGAAATGTTGGGCTTTATAGTAAGATGGCGAACCCGGGTGGCGAAGATTTAGTCCGACAGCTACCTTACCACTGTAGTAAAAGAGGTTCACGAAGCCAAGCCGACCCAAACCGCGTAATCCCCACCAGACTCCACTTGTTGAACATTCATCGGAGGAGGCGGATCGGTCTTCACTGCGTCGTCACACGTGGCATAACCATGCTTTCACCGGACACCTTGCCGTCATCTGGCTTGGATACTGCCATTGTCCACGCCATACAACTAAGAAAAGCCCAACAACGCAGCCTGTACCGAGACAGTGATGCATCATAGTCACTCATCGCCAGGTGTAACGGCGCCGAGTGTCTGACATACATACATACCCCTCAGCTATGCAGGGGTGCCGGTGTGCGCCCCGTGGCTGTGTGTGAGTGGCTTGAGCATAGTGGCGTGATTTCAGCGTGCATCAAAGGTGGAGCTGCTGCGCTGTTTGCGATTCGCGATATGCAGTTGTACCATTATAGCTGTGGGTATCGACGCAGGCCTCGAGTGCGGGGTCATCAATTGTCGAGTAAAGTAACGGCAGCGTGTTGCATGCGAGACCCTAGTATCTTTCTGAGGACCGGTGTTATTGTAGTTCGCAAGTCGTCATACTACTAGATGGGTTCGCTGGGTTGCATAGTGGGTTGGAAAAGGTATCAAGTATTCAGGGTAGGGCAATACCGCGGGGCGTGTGCAAAAGCAGGGTCGACGCCAAGGACACGCTAAATTCGCACGGGCCGCCTTTCCCCCCATTCTGTGGGTCATTATACTCATTCGTTCTCGACCATGTCCACCGCCTCGGTTGGCCCCGCAAAGCTACCCAAATCTCTACTATGACCATCTGAGACATGCTCATTGAGCTTCGTTCCGTTCATAAACGATCGCGAACCTATAGGCAAAGTAGGTTGAACGGTGAAGTGATTTGAATGATACTTAACAGAGATTGAAGTCAACCAGGGATGCAATGACTAGCAACCACAAGCTTTTTAGCAGTTCCATTACTACCTTTGCGTTGAGAGCTCCTAGAACCATGGAATACAACACAGATTTTGCTTTTGGAGACCGCACAATAATTTGAGTACTTTTACCACGTACTATATATACGTTATTCCATGCAACGTCACCGCGCATACATTCTAAACAAGCTATCGCATAGTGATTAACGAACAAGGAAACAATCCAAAGCCTATCTCCATCATACCAGCCGCAATGTTTCCGGATGGAAGTTCTAAGTTCTTTTACCGGACCAAGCCCTCGTTGATCTTCAAAACCCGAAGTCTTTCTCAGCGTACCCCCACAAACTTCGGACTTTGCGCGAACCACCGGCTCCTTGGTCGTGCGAGATTCTTCTCTTCAAATTGCATAAGAGAACTACGTAGAGACGGTAGGCTATGATAACTATTTCTCTCTGCCTAAATGCTGACAGGAACGCAGGCCCCGACCCCTACCACTATACCAGTGGTCGATGGCTTCGTAAGGATGCAATACAGCAAGAATCACGTTTTCTACATTTCGACTTCGATGCCCTCTGCAGTAAAGTTTTGGCATTGTGTCCTAACTCGACATCTATCACTTCGTACGATAAGAAGGAAGGCGGCTTTAACCGAGTGTTCATATTCCATACTGATAGCGCTGAACGTATCGTCGCAAGACTACCATTTGGATCGGCAGGGCCTCCGCGACTTTCGACCAATTCAGAAGTCGCAACGATCAAGTACTGTAGGTTCTGCAACAAGATAATAGGATACTGGTGATGTTGTGGCTAACCACCTTTGGACTTTATAGTGCAAGCCGAGACTGAGATCCCTATTCCAAAGATACTTGGCTGGAGTGACAACCCTTCAAATCCCATTGGCAGCGAATATATCATCATGGAACATGCACCGGGTATTCGCTTGCTTGAAAAATGGCCAACAATGGATATGGACCAACAAATCAGATTCGCAGGACTGATTGCCAAACAGCTCGCAGAGATGGCCAACATCAAATTTCCAGCATATGGCAGTCTATACTTTGCTGATACACCATATCTTCCTCCCTCAAAGCTCCCGTTTAATGAACAGTTTTGTATCGGCCCACACTGTGGGCACATGTACTGGAATTGTATGCCTATTCAACCCAAATTCTATAACGATGTCAAACCAAATCAAGGACCTTGTAAGTTAGCCCATAGGTTTTGGAGATTGGAAACGTCTAATTATATTGTACAGGGACAAATTTAGCCGATTACACGGATGGTCTCATCGACTCCGGAATTTCTAGAATACCGCCTCTTGAACCTGCGGTAAAACGCCCACGTTACAAAGGGTCTATTGAGACGCACAAAAGCCTACTTAAAGAGGCCCGCACAATGTTGAAGGAAATGTCCAAAAGCCCGAAAATCCAAAGTGTTGCCAGCCCTGCCATGTTTCATCCCAGTCTGGACAAAAGAAACATATTTGTGTCAGAAGATGATCCCACCATCGTGACATCCATCATAGACTGGCAGTCTACTAGCATTGAGCCGGCGTTCTGGTATGCGAACCAGTTCCCAGACTTTACGCATCCTCCTCCTGACATTTTCGACTTTCTCGATTCGAATCCTTTGATTTCAGCACGTGCTAGAGCCTACCACATAAGCTTGAGAATATTCGCCACGAACTTCTCCACAGCTAGATCAATGGAAGAGTCGCATTTCTGGCCATTCCAATCCTGTCAACGCACATGGGAAGACGGAGCTGCCTCCTTTCGTCAAGATCTGATCGAGGCCTCGGAAGTGTGGAAAGATCTTGAGTTCGCTTCAAAGTGTCCATTTTCGCCACCCCTCCATGATGAATTAGCTGTTCACAAAAAGGATCATAGGCGTTTTAAAGGGTCACAAGAGTTATTAGATACTCTTGTGTCTCTACTGAACGTCTCAGATGAAGGTTGGGTTCCTCTAAAAGACTGGGAAGATACCAAGGTTGCACATCAAAAGGCGTTTAGGGATTTTTTACAGGAAGTTCACGAGCTTGATCAGCCAGATGATGATGACCCTATCCAAAGTGAAGATGATCTCAGGGAACTCTGGCCATTTGACCTAGAGGAATGAACTAGAGAAAGGTAGTAGCAAATCCGACTGCATTTAGACTCTTCAGATTTGAAAGAAGCGACCATCTCATCTGATCTTGGTTGAGTGTTCCAGGATCTGCAGGGTACTGGAAGTTCTTGTAGTTAGTAGCCTCCCTAAACTTCTCAATCAAATCTCATCCAGAATTCCACTCCTCTAAGCGTCCTAACAATGCGAACGGCTTCTTATATAGATCTAATGGTCGCACTTGTAAGCGATACTCTTTGAAGAGGATTATGTGTGGGGTGATATAAGCGCCCAAGCATTTATCAAATTAGCAAGTTGACTTAACAATGACTTCAAAAACTAACAAGAGATATATCCATAATGCGCCCTGGAGCTGTCACATCCAAAGATCTTATGCATAGTAGAACAGTTAGTTACGGCCCCCTAGCTAGTGGACTAGCTATTTTAGATGATATGCATATCCACCTCATCTATTTATAACTTGACTTATCCATACACGTTTGCTGTATAGCGTATTAGTTTAATTATCTTAGAAAAAAATAGTCGTCTCCAGTCCAATCTGCCATAATCGGGGCTTATTTAGTGTGGCACGATGCGTGACCGAGCTCAAGATATGAAGTTCATGACCCGCAATCGAGTAGATAGAACAAAGCTGATATTTGATCGCCGCAAAGAATTGATCGAAGAAGGTGCCTCTCTGCTTACGAAAGAAAATTGCAATATATATCCACAAGCTGATCACGTGATACTACACCACATTAGTAATGTGAATAGAGTTTTAGCTCTAGTCTATCATACAAGATCACAATATTTTGATGGGAAAAATCAACAGGATATTGAGCATGGTAGCGAAAACTTGGTTGTATCCAAAAGAATATCCAGGGTGCTCTCAATCACCCTTAAGGGTCCATAGTTTTTATCATTGTTGGGATGGGTATAATTACCCCTGGACAGATGTCTAATGTGACATACTTGTCCTCCTGAGCATATCTGAGTACACGAACTAGTTTATTGCAATAGGAACCTCAACGGTACTTGGCCAGCAAATATTTGTGTGTTCTGAGTCAAAGGTTGACTAACGCGTGTTGTAGAGAACGATACAATAACAGGGACGTCCCTCCGTCGCCTCAATCTTGCTGTATGCGAACCATGGGTCCTATAAAGCTATCAAATCCACCTCTGCTCACGACTGCACTCGGAAGATCGACCATCACTCACGGTGCGAAGAAACCATTTCGATTCTTGGATCTCCCGAAGGATATACGTCTCATGGTGTACGAGGAGCTGGGCATGAAAACGTACCGAGACAGGTTTCCTCTTCGATATGACCAACATTACGTGACGCTCGTCAACACAGTCACCCCAGGTCTCGCAATTCTCGCAACTAGCCGTCAGATCCGAGCAGAAGCATCGTCAATCATTATACCACGGCTGCGAATGATATTGGGCTCGCCGCCAGTCATTTCCATTCGAGCTGAGCATCTCGTTAGTTTAATTGATCTACACGACTGCTTCAGCTCCGTCTACGGTACGAAGTTCATGGAGAGACTCATATTCTGCTTGCATGATCCGAGAGCATTTCCCAGAATGATGTGTTATCGAAGTGGACAACTTTCGACGAAGCAGTTGCGGAGAAGGCTTCGCCTACAAGGACTCATCGCAATCGGTGATGACGCAAGTCTCAAAGGGTTCGTGCGATTCGCTCTCCGCGCCATGAAATACCTAGCGAGCAATGCCAACCAGACCCGTCACGTATATCCGCCGCTTACGTTCGTAGTCGAAGTCCCAGATACCTTCCAAGCAATACCCGTCACAACATCCACCTCCTTCCTGGAATGTCTTTCGTATAGGCTCTTTTCCCCATTGATTCCTACCCCACCACGAACGGTGACAAATCACGCAGGCATCATGTGGCTACTTCGCCGTTTTACTTCCCACAGCTCCAAAGCTTGTGAGCTGTGGCGCATAGTTTCGCTTATTGTGAAAGTGAGGCTACTGGACGAAGGACATACTGGGTTGCGAATTAGCGGACGCAACGTTCAAAAAGCGATTTCGCGCGGTCTAGAGGAAGGAAGGAGTAATGCTGCCAATATAGTATGTTATGGAGGAAGGGCTCCGAGGAAGATGGAAGAGATTTGAGGAAATAGACATTACTGTTTTGAGGAGAGGTCCTGCTACATCTGTACACTACGTTAGAAGTTACGCCTCAGTATGTAGTTGCATCGAGGAAAGAAAGAAGTTACACTTGGTCAGGAATGAGCGTATGCTGTTGTTTACGCACGCTTTTGTTGATAGCTTCTTTCAAGCAAATTCACAAGTTCCAAAGAAACCCGTTCAAAATTTCGTCGTTTTTGCCAATCGTTACGTTTTTCAAACCAAAAATGGCCAAAGTCATCGACATGTTCAAAGAAAAAGTCCTCGCATTGCCCAAAGTGGCATCAAAGTTCACTGCATCGGCGGTGGCGGGACGCCGCATCGTCCCACCAAGGACGAAAGATGCCGAGTTTCAACTCCGCATCGATGCCGGCCACTACGACATGGCCAAAAAAAACTCAATGTCGTCCTCCAAATCAACAAAGAAGCAAAGTCGCCGGCCCTCGTCAAAATTGTAAACAAATTTTCACCACATTACAAAATGGCAACGGAAATGTTCGATACCGGGGTAGTGGATAAGCAGGGGGGGTTGAAGAGAGTGTTGGACTCTCTATGCGCTCAGGCAAAGGAGCAAGTCAAGAAACATGGGCATTAATTCAAGCATAAGTTGGTGGATGTATTGAGCGGAGAAAACATCAATTTGTTTCTGGACCAAAACACATCCCATTCACACATCACTATCCTTAGAGGGATGATTCCTCCAAACCCGTCGCCACACCCAACCGCTTATCCCAAAGCATCTCTACAATATGGAACGCCGTCCTCCGCTCATCCCAATCCTCGACATTATCATACTGAAGCCATCTCCCTCCCCTGGCGCCAATACTCTGCACAGACGCATCACCCGTCTCGATACCATCTTGGGCTCTGGAAACAGCCGCATACCTAATCATCCCGTACGCCTCCAAATCCTCAAGTACACACGGCGTAAACAGCATCTGTCGCACATCTTTCAAGCGCGCCCGCCAAGCGTCCTGTGCGGAGTTGCTTGTAGGCGGATCGGCAGTGTAGTATCCCAGTGCGTGTCTGCCGTCGTGATAGAACCGCGGTAGGAAGAGTACGGTAACGATTTTGTCGTTGTTTTCATCCTGTTCGTGGGGTATATCTTCTGCCAAAACACCGAATTGTAGTTTGGGAAGCCGGGCGGGGAGGGGCACGTTGGGCAGGTGGTTAATCGCCGACTGAAAGTTTATGTTGGGGAGGTTATGCTGGGCGATGCGCGCTATGGCGAGACATATGGCGGGGTTGGTCGTCGTACATGTGTAGATTTGGTGTTCGTACTCGGTATACACTGGCGGTGGTCGTGGGATAGTTGTGGACGAGTAGTTCGTGAGGGGCTTGTATCGCTCTTGCTCTTCGTCTGGCTGCTCATCACTAGGGTCCCACGCGTCCGTCGCTCTCAGCCCGTTGCGACGGTACTCGTCAAAATCTGTGCAGATGTCCTTGTAGTCTTTCTTTAGAGAGAGCTGTTGGAGATAATGTTCTACACCAGTGAGTCGTCCTGTCTGATTCGGCGTTTCGACGCTGTTCACTACTATATCATCTTGGTGAGAATCCCACGGGTACTTGCGTAGAGGTTGCGGCGATGTGGATGAATCTGGCGAAGTGGATGCACTGAGTTTTCTGGGCGGGCGTTTTATCAGGACTTTGATCATCTTCCTGGAGTTCGCTGTGGTGGACGGTCCAGAAGTGACAGCTGGACGACTGGCTTTTGGCATAGTGACGGTGTTGTAATGTGGCCCGTGAATCAAGCAGGGCTGTTATTCATTCAAAACATCAGTGGGACAGTCTGGGCAAGTGGAAAGTGCTGGTGTAAGAAGTGGTATTGTAATCTATGGATAGCGGATAGGGTCTGTGCACCACGAGCGTTTGCAGCCAACAGTTTCACTGGACATTCAAAGCACGCGCAGATCCATGGTTTGTATGATTACTATTACTATCAATCCGAGTCGTCATCAGTGTCCTGTCCAAGAACTAGCGATATCTTATCATCGTCGCTGTCATCGTCACCTTCACCCGGATCAGGAAGCTCTGGAATCGCAGAGGCGGTGTTGGTAGCAGTGAAATCTGAGGTGGCTGACGCTGTCGCATCGATAAGAGTGTTGTCAGAAGATTCAGCAGCCGTGGAAACAGGCTGTGCGGTGCGCGTATGCTGCAGCTCATCTTGGGTTGTTCTCGCACGCTTCGAAGGAGAATGAGGGCCTTCATTGCCGATTGGTCGCTTTGCTTCACCAGAGGTTGGGGGTTCTGACAAAAGCGCATTCCCTGAATCTGTGAATGCTGAGTTCGGCCTGGAGGAGGTGAATGTGGGTACGTCAGTGTGGAGAACATCTGTCATAGCGAAGTCTTTCACTGCAGTACCAGCATTTTGCTCTACAGATCCATCAGCCATTTCTTCTGGAGCTTGTGGCTCAGCTTCATCCTCTTCCACTTCCTCTTCCTCTTCTTCAGCATCCATGCCGTCCTCTCCCTCTTCTGCGTCCAAGTCTTGACCACCTAGACGGATTACTGGCATTCGTGGCCGCAGCATGCCCTCGACGTCCTTTTCAGCAGAAAATGACCGAGCCATGAGTGGCAAAATGCTTGCTGCAGGCTTGCCAAACTTCTTGCTTGGCGGAGGGTTCAGTACGCTAGCTACCATGGCTTCCTTATGCTGCGCGAGAATTGCAGTGCGGTCTAGGCGAGCTCGCATAGAGTCGGATAAATGCTGGGCACGAATATCCGAGAGTAGCACAGGCAGAAGATTGTAGGCAGCTTGGGACAGTCCTGTATAGCCGTCGAGGGAGTTGTCGGTTTCTTTGGAGGCACTCATGAAAGCGTCTGCGTTTGCAGAAGTCTGTGGCTGAGCGTTGCCATTTGCCTTGGCACGGCCAGGAATATTGTTGGCTGTATTGATAGTTACAGCTGAGGGAAGCAGATCATCGCAGCAGGATCGGATAAGGGGCAGGAGAGAGTCAACTGTGGACTTGTGGAACGCAACTCCAGATCTCTTTAAGAGGGCTGATGTTGCCACATAACATGCTGTTCTGACTTGAACTGTGTCCCTCTCCGCATTAAAGACCCAGACAAGTTGATCAATGATGATAGATTCCAACGCAATTGTGCTCGACTGAGACCTGTGTGCTAGCGATAAAAACACTTCGATCGCAGCAACATGCACCTCTGGAATCAACAGCCAGAGGTTTTCTCGCTCTTCTTTGCTGATTTGCGCATTCAGGCGGATAGTGTTTTGGAAGTTTTTGGATGAAGATACAGGGATGGTGATGGAGAGCATCCTGGAAATCAAGTCAACGATCAAACCGACGTCCAAGTAGACAGTGCTTGGAGTTGGACCCTCTATGTACTCTTTCAGGAGATACATGAGTCCCAACAGTCGTTCACCACCAGCGAAAATGCCTGACCAAGGTGGAAGACCTGAGCTTGGTTCCAGATCCTGGGTTTCATCATTGATGGTGTGGCCATTCGTCAAGGGTGCTTCACGGGAAGCAGACTGCCAATCCTCCACTACAGCGCGGAAGACATGATCTGCAGTTTGGTGGGCGCTGTTGACCACACTTTTGACGGATTTCGTCCAATCCTCACCAGAAGTGCCCTTGGGTGCGCAATAAGGCAACTGCGCATAGAGCTGGCGTGCAGCGGCAGCAATATCGGATTTAACCCCATATCTGAATCCAGAAATTTCTTCTTGGCTCAGCTTGGTGGATGATGTGGGCGCAACCAAGCGGGCTAGGAGTGGGTGGAGCTGTTTGAGGTATGATCGAAAGACTGTGGGATGCCGGGGTAGCAGTTGGCTGAAACTCTCCAGGACTATTAACAGCAAAGAATCCGGTACATTGGCCGTGTTGGCTATCTGGAGTCCCGCTTGTACGAAAGGTGTTAGGGATGGAGTGGTGATTTCGCGAACCAGTGTCGGATATTCCCTCGTGAGAAAAAAGATGCGTGTCAGAGTGATGATGCATAGTTTCTTCGAGGATGGTGGGTCCGGCTTGTTGAGGAATCCCAGGAGACCGCGAACCCAGGGCAGACTCTTTTGCAAAGTTTCCCAACCTCCGACTTCAATGGTCGCTTTGATCAAGACAATGGCGCACCACCTTCCGTGAGGAGTGCGATCTTGGAGAAGAGTAGACAAGAGAGTGCGGTACTTGTGGACGGCGACAGAGTATTCGGAGGAGGTGGCCTTGGTACCTGAAGCCTGGGGCGACGAAAGAATAGTCCTGCACGAGGCCAAGGATGCAGCTATTGCAGGCACGTGCTGGGGAAGTTGCGAAGTTGGTGTAGATGAGATGCGGAAGCTGAGCGCTCGCAGCGTCGCGAGTTCTGCAGCAAGGGGCGCCATGTCGAGCGCTATGTTTGCTGTGATTGTACAAATCAATCCGGCTCGTCTCCTTTGAGCTGAACTGTTAGAGTCGCATCTTGTCAATTCAATGGCAACAAAAAAGTTTGGGCCTCGGCGGTCGCGTCGGCCCGTGAAGCGCTAAGGCGACAGGGATGTGGGGACTAATCCGGCTGGGTGGGACCAGAGCTGCAGTCGGTCTGTGACATGTGGATGGCCATGGCCGCTGCGGTCGCAAGGAATATTGCTACTCGAACATGACTGTGCATGTATCGCGACTTTGCGTAGTGCCAAAGTCATATCTTTAACATCATGGTGGTATGTTGCCCACCATATTGCTTTGTGCGTCCAGGGAGCAGCCACTTCCAGCGCAACGTCATTTCTCTGCGCCCATAGCTTACACCAGCACAGAACGCCCCTGAGAACGAGAAAGCGAAGCGCTACATCCAGCAATTGGACGAGGCCAGATGTGCTGGACGATGGGCCGATGTGCCTGAGCTGTGCAGGAAGGTAGAGAAACACGCACCGCACAGGAAGTGTCAGCAAAACCTGTTCCCTTTCCATGCTATAACTGAGGGTTAACGTCGGATCAAGGCCTCACCATTACAGCCCGCTCCGAAACACAGATAGCCGCCTATAGTACCCAGCGCCCCTCGACCGCCTCCTCGACCGCTTCTGCCGGGCTGTCGCAGATTGTCCCCTCGCTGCTTGCCGCCATTGAAGAAGACAGCAGCCATGGCCAAGATGTCTTCCAGGCCACCGTGTGTATTGCATGGACGCACTACATACTCGATGAGCTTGCCCAGGCTGTATCACGACTTCCAAAGGACTTTGGGGTCGTTGCAACAGAGCTGTCTGGCGAGGCAGGAGGCTCGCTACATGGATGGTCCCGGGTCTGCTTGGTAAAGGGCTCATATATTAGAGGTACACGCAAAACCTTTCCTTCCTAAAAGCAAACCCCGGGTCTGACGTAGTACAGGTTCTGCGCTCGAAAAGACAGGCGCAGTCGGCGAGGCAGTCACGGCCTACTCGTCCATAATGCCATGGTTGTCCAGCGCCATCACACCCAGTACCGAATCCGCTCAATTCCACATGTGGGGTGAACATTCCATTGTCCGTCTCTGTCAGCTGTCCGACCAGTCCACGAGCACTGGCGAAAATGTCACCGCTTTCGATGCTCTACGAACCTACCGATACTGGGCCAAGTTCTGGGATGCCTCATCCAAAAACAATACAACCGACATAACCGATTCGGCACAACACCGACGACTGGCATGGAAAGCATACTACGATTCGCTTTCCATTATCCTTCGTCGAAACCTACCTTACGAGCCTGACTCCACACCCGTCATCGCAGAGAAGCCTTCTTCAAACTCTCGCTCGGACATACGATTGCGGCAGCGAGCAGAACTCAAGCGAGTGGAGACCATCTATGAAAATCTGCTGATCAAGGAGACAAAGTTTCCAAAGGCTAGCGAAACTAATCGCGAGGTTGAATCATGGGTAGACTCCGTCATGGACAACTGGCGCTTGCTGTGTGGCCCAACCTGGTCCGACGAGGATCTTGGCGAAGGAGGCAAGGAGGGCGTTGCTCGAGGTGTACTTGATGTGAGTATCCAATGAAAAAATTTATTCTTCGGTACTGACGCTGTTTAGATTCTCTATCGAGCAGCCACCAAGACGTATCACTCTACCCAAATACTGCGCAACCTGTTCGTCGTCCACGCATCGCTCGCCGAGCCTGAGTTGGCCTACAAAGCCTACGATGCCTACGTTGAGATCATCCAGCGAAACAAGGACCGAGCGGAAAAGAGCGGGGAACCCGAAGTAGGTATAGACGATGACGGCACCGTCTTGCGGACGTCAGCAGAAGCCATTAGGATGCTCTGCCGCTGGGGATCCAAGAAGGAAGCCGAAAAAGCACTCGAGATTGGCCACAGTATCGAGCACTGGTTGGAACAGGCAGAAAATCGTCGTGCGGCAAAGGGTGATGCCTCTGTTTCCTCGTCAGAACCAGTGGTTGAGCCTCTGGCTCTGGCAGCAGCATACTGCGCCATCGGTGTGAGCCAGGCTCACTGGGCGCGGCTGACTTATGATGTCGAAACACGTTCAAGCATCCAAACCAAAGCTGTACAGTACCTTCGTAAGGCGCTTTCACCACAGCTTGGCGACGAGAACAATGTGGATGCTCTTTATGCGCTAGCCTTGGTGCTGGCAGAAGTGCGAGACATTCCAGGCGCAATCAAGATTGCCAAACGTGCCCTTTCAACAGGCGCTAAAGGTACCGTGATCAGTACTGACGGAGTGCTTTCCGATGGTATTACCAGCGAATTTGGCCGAGAGCGCAAGCTGATGCCAGTATGGCACCTTCTTGCTTTGTTGCTGACATCGCGATCTGATTTCGCTGCAGCAGAGCGGGCTTGCGAAGCGGCTTTCGAGCAATTCGGTGATCCCACGGTTATGTTCGGTCGTGGTGATTCGGGGGCCTACCGCAGTGAGCATCTGAATGATGCCGTCGGCCAAGACACCCTGAACTCGGGCGTCGTGGATCGCATGGAGCGTTTTGAGAAGAGCAATATTTTGCAGATTAAGATGACGCAGTTGGCGCTTCTTGAGATCACAGATGGTGCCACTGCAGCGGTAGATGGATGCGATGAATTGCTGGCGTTATATGGTCGACTTTTCGGTGATCCGACAGCAGACGTGATCAAGCCGCCAACTCCTCCTGCAGCTTTGGCACCACCCAAAACTGCCATTGGTACTGGGCGAGGGAGCATCTTTCGGGGGAGAGGCTCGGTCAGGGCACAGCAAGACAACGCCGCTCGCAACGCATCCGCTGTCAGCTCGAAAACAGCCACCACACAGCCAGATCAGGCTCCAGCTATCCAAGTAACCAACAATGAATCTGCGGCAGATCCAAATTCCCACCATCGTCATCACCTCTTTCACCACAAACATGAAGATGGACAGGCTGGCGTTACGCGAACTGCAAGCAAATTGCAGAAGCGGCGTTCACGTTCGGCTAGTCTTGGAAAAGCCTCTATCCCAGAGACTGATCTAGCCCAAGGAGTTCCACCGCTTCCAGAAACTGTGGGTGACGGCTCTGCTCTACCTAATGTCTCCAGAAAGTCCAATGAGAACGGAGAAAGACCTCTACGATCTATCCCTCATAATCTCGACCATTCTGCTCCACCGCTAGCGCACGACCACCCACCTAGGCAAGATATGCGCTTGCCTTCTGCACTCCCGCGTGCAGACTATGTGCCCTCCGATCCTTACTTTTCGAAGATTCAAGAGCGTCGACAAAAAGTCTCATTACTGGTCAGTATATGGATCTTCATCTCACGGCTATATGCAAGGGCACACATGTTCCAGGACGCAAGAGAAGCTGTCGTAGAGGCATTAAAGTTGGTGGAGACTTTTGAGGCAGAGGTATCTGTAGAGTCGGCCACAGCAAAAGCACTTGCAGACAAGGGATGGGGTGGTGGAAAAAGTGTGGAAGAGCTATGGGCTGACGTATTTGCTACGGTAAGTGATGAAGTTCATTATCCCAGGATATTTGCTAATTCCGACAGCGCGGAGAGCTGCTCGTTGCTCAGTCTATGCCTCATGAGGCTCGTGCAGACTTTGAACGAGCTCTACAACATTTCCCCGATCATCCTAAAGGTATTGTGGGCTTGTCAAACATACTTTTGGATATCTACAATGAGGCTATACCCCTGGAGCCGGTCAATGCTGCAGGCCCACTGTCTCCGTCTCGACCAACTACGGCCGCTTCTATTCAAACCAGTCCGTCCATCGCAAGGTCGCAATATCTTACCTCGCACACCCCTTCGGCTGAGAACCAGCTTTCTCCACCCGAGTTGACTCGTCTTGCAGCGCGTGATCGTGCCTTTGGGCTGCTCTCAACCCTCACCAAACTTGGCGCTGGCTGGGACTACTCGGAGGCATGGTACGCGTTGGCCAGAGCCTACGAGGACAGCGGACAGATCGAGAAAACAAAGGAAGTCCTCTGGTGGTGCGTGGAACTCGAAGATACGCATCCTATGCGAAGTTGGAAGAGTGTAAATACTGGTGGCTTCGTGCTGTAGCTTATTTTAATATATAAGCCCATTGGGCTTGATTACTTCTCGCTGCTGTCAAATTTCGATCGTTTACCAGGTAGTAGTGCTTCTAAACTCCAATATTGAAACAAAAATGTGACTGAAAGACGAAATTCTTCTTCTTCCTCTTCTTCTTCTTCGCGCACCGCAGCATCGGCAGTGTTGCAAAATCGTGACAAGGCAAAAAAAAAAGGCACCCAAGCTAATCAATCTCATGCCCTGATATTCCTTGCCTTCACAATAAGCGGAGGCTTATCCCACAGCATATACACCTTTTGCTGGATCCAACTCCGACTCTCGTCGCACAGCTCAAAATCAAAATTCCACACGAGTTTTGCAAGGATAATGCGCATTTCGTGATTTGCAAGACTGTCAAAATCAATTTGCGTTAGCGAAAAATTCTATTATGGTTGTCTTTGCTGATTTTCTTGAAAAACTTACTTTTGGCCGATGCAATTGCGGGGACCAATGGAGAAGGGGTTGAAAGCGTCTTTGTGGTCGGCATCGTAGCCAGTGCCCGGGAGCCAGCGTTCTGGAAGGAAGGAGTCTGGGTTTTTGAAGTTTGTGTTGTGGTGGTATGCTGCGTATTGGGAGACTGCGACGCGAGTCTGGATCATACTAGGTTAGAAAGAATATACCTGCGTCTCAAATGTCAATGGTTTACTTACATTTTCTGGGATCCACTGGCCGTCGATGACGTTGCCGCCCTGTGGCGTCTTGCGGAAGAGAGGAATGGGGACGACGGGGTGGACGCGCAGGCTCTCCTTAATGCAGGCGGACATGAACGGAAGGTGTTGCATGGTATCAAGCGTCAACTCGTCCTCACGCAGAGTACGTACTTCTGCTTGGAGCCTTTGCATCTGTTCTGGATGCGTGAGACAGAGGTAGAAGAGTGCGCTGAGTGTCGAAGCCGTCGTTTCTGTCCCCGCAATCATGAACGTCGTTGCATCTGCCATCATGATCTCTTCTGGCATCTCGCCCTGCTCATTCTTGGTCATGACAAGCGACCAGATATCCGGTTTGCCAATGTCGATGCCTTTTGCGAGGCGCTTCTTGACGCGCTGGGCGGAATAGTCGTAATGTGCTAGTCCTGCGGCTGTCAGAGACTTGGGTGTCATGATTTTGATTAGACGCTCGATGATTGGGTATTCCAGGGCGAGGCGCTTGATCGATGTATTCTTTACGTTCCCAAAGATCTGCGCGACCCATGGACTCAACTCGGATTTCTCGAGTAGACCGAGAGGCTCCCCGAACGTCAGGTCTGCCATCACGTCAAACGTACAACAGTTGAGCAGTTTTTGGATATCCACTTTGCTGACCGAGTCTTTTGTGGCAGCTTCCTTGATAACCTGGACGAGGAGGTTGACATAGCCGAGAATCAAGGGCTCTTGTTTCCTTAGGGCTTTATCGCTAAAGGCGTTCTGATACAATCTTCGTCGCGGCCTATGGACTTCTGTCCTATATTCCGAGGCCAAAGATCGCATGCCTCTGATGTTTGATGGAAGCGCGGTTGGATCCTTTCGATTCTCAAGGCGTTTCCCAACCGAGGGACCGGCAATGTCTCTCCAGGCTCCGGCTGTTACGAAAGACAATCGATCAGGTGCAAGGCGGACAACCTCTCCGTACCTTTTGTGCATTTCCGTCTCCCATGCAGCCTCCTCGCCCTTTAGACATTTGTAATGGTAGAAGATTCCGGTAGCTGCAGCGATCTTTGGGCCGGGAACTTTGATTGCAAATCAGCAAAAGTATTGTATGGGAAGTAGAGAAAACCTCTTACATTTGCGGCAAGGATGGAAGAATATGTTGTAGATTGCAAGAAGCAAGAATTGAAGGATGACCTGAATATTTGCTTAGCAAGTCGGAAAGGCAAGGTGCAAAGGGGTTGTACTGACCCCTCCAACAATCGAGCCCGCAAGGAGCGGTATGTTCCCCATTTGGGATGTCTAAGGGTATGTAGTACCCTAGAATAATTTTATAACAATTTTGAACAACAAATTACAGACTGAAAGTAGCAAGAGTAGGGTCTGATATATTGTGTGTTTTGCAAGATGTCCTTGAGGTCTTTGAAGTAGAAGAAGGATGACAACGGTAACAAAGGTGGCGGTCTGGTAGTGTTATATGTACTCGCGTAGAATTATTACGGGTGCAGGTATATCGTTAAGGGTCGCAGATCGTTGGTCATGCGTCGTACATTGGATACGCGGAGCATCGGAGGGTCGCGAACGTCGATCTACCCCTTACGCACTTGCTCAAATTATCACGCACACTGGGCATACGAGAGCCCCTCATTCGCGAGTTGCGAACCTGGTTAGGTTAATTCGGAGGGTCGGGGAGTCCTTTTTGTCCAAAAAGTGGCCTCTTTGTCGGCAATGCATATCCGTGCGACTTATTGCAGTGATGACGCTGCTAGTGGCTGAAGCAGCTAGGAGGGGCAAGTTTCCCAGTGGGTTGGGATGTTGAGCAATGTATTTCAGGAATCATACCTGATTCTCTCAGAAAAAAAAGAAAAACAGGTGATTTACTCCTTTCCAGTAAGCAGAAAAGGATATAGTTGGTAATCACGCTCATAATCTTGGTTGTTCATAGTTCTCAAATTAGCTTCCGCGGATCTTGTTCCGGCCAATGTTTGTAATATGCATATGCAGCAACAAATCGTGGACGAAGAAACGACTGTCGGGGAATCTGCAAGTCCATGTTTAGTGTTCCATAGCACAGTCGCTTACTAACAGCACCCCAGTTAGTGTGGCATTCTAAGATCGTCCTTTAGCCCGTCCAGGTGGATCTGCGTGACATACAAGATGCAGCTGCACCAAACTAAAAAGGCAGGAAGATAATGTATGACATGATTGACGGCTCGGAAACGGACAGTTCCGAAAGCTACATGGCAATAATCCGGTTGGACCAAAAGGTTTTGTGGTGGAGAAATCGCGTTGTCAATCTTGAGTTTTTAATAAGCTTTATCAGCACTACTGCACAGAACAGGGTTCGTGCCGAGGCGCCATCCAATACATCTCTGAATGTGGCTCGATTGGCTGCAAATACTACAACTGCAAGAAGTGCGAAGATAGCTTGTGCCATTATGTAACCTACTTCTACATATCTTGTCGTCCCTCTCCGGTAAAACTGATCTGAAACTTGTTATCCCTTAGCCACTACGTAAGTACTGAATTTAAAGCGAGCTTAGATCAATCTCCTCCAATCTACTCTTCACCATAATCCTCTGGCGGGGATCAAGCGCAACTTCCGTTCCCGAGCAAAGAGTCGGAAATCGCCCTTGCTCTTCACTAAGCTTCCAATCGTACTTGATCAGCAAGTGCTTCAGAATGATTTTAATCTCATTGCTGGCAAAGAAGCGACCAGGACAAGTGTGCTTTCCGTAACCAAACGCTGTGTGTTCGGGTGACCCTGTGACGAAATGCCATTTACTCCGGTTAGTCTCGCGGAGCTTGACAAACCGATCTAGATCAAATTTTTCAGGGTTGGGATAGAGGTCCAGGTCGTCCATTTTGGTTTCGACGGCGAGTTTGTAGCCCTTGGGAATGATTGTGCCGTCGGAAAGCGTTATGGTGGCTGTGGCTTGGCGCTGCATTGCGACTGTTAATGTCAGGTATGTCAGAACACTAAGGAATAGAGCAGAATGACTTACCATTGCTTAGAGTGTTCATGCGTTGAGATTCCTTCATCGCACTATCCAGTAACGTCATTGAAGACAATGACGTCTTTCTCCAGCCATGTTCTGCTAGAATCGAAACCATCTCTTTTCTTAGTCGCTCGACATGATGCTCATTTCCATTGTCGTGCTCGAGAATATCAAGCATGAGAAACGATAATGTTTCGGTAGTCGTATGCAGTGCCGCCACTGCGAAGTTTAGTTGAAGACTGGCAAAATCAATCTTGACACCCTTCGCCCTGGCTTTGTCATCAATCCAACTCATCATATCAGCAGTCTTCTCTGTAATCTCTCCGCTGGCTTTTCTCCGCATGCGATCCTGTGCAATCGGATTAATGATTTCTCGAGCTTTAGCAACTTGTTGTCTGCATAACTTGAGCTCAGGAATCCACCATTGTGCAATGGGTCGTAAGAATGAAGGTACTGTGCGGAGTCTTCGGGCAGCCCGCACAAGATTCATGGTGTAGGATACAGCTATCTCAAGCCAGTCGTCGTTGCTTGCAGCTTCTGGCCCAAGAAAAACAAGAGTAGAGACCCGGGCAATAATACGGTAGATGAATGGTTTCAATTCTGTAGATTTCCAGTTTTGCAGAAAGATTTCGTCAGTGTTTTGGTAGCCTTGGAGGGGTAGGAGCAGTACATACCTGGAACATTGCCTAGTCCATCCCTGACAGCGGCTTCAACTTCAGCGTCCATGTCTCCGACAATAGCATCTAATGATCGGGTAAGATCGAGCCGGACGATGTCTTGCATGATGTCGTGGTAATCGATTGTTGCAATCGGATCCAATCCTGAATAAGTAGCCGAGAAGTCCTGTTAAGGAGTCAGTGGTTTTGCAGCATCGGACAAGTTCAGCCAGGCCCACTAACAGATACCAGGCCTTTTGCGAAATCAAGTTCCTTTATATTCCGAATCTCATGCGCGAACGAGTTTGGCACGAAAATGACAGGTCCAGTAGGAGAAACCACTGCTATGGCGCTTTTAACCTATACGAACTGTTAAGACGTGTACTATGTTACTTATCCCCAGCTCTAATACCTTTTTCAATCCTCCGTAAAGAAGCTCCCGGCAATTGGTAGTCCATTGCTCTTTCCCTTTAGAATGGTCTTTGAGGGCGTCGTTTGTAAGAGCATACCATGTCGCGTTTGTAGTGACACGTTTACTATAGAAAGCAAAGTAGAAGAAGCCTAGAGAGCATGCCACCGCTGCGGTGACAATTGAAACAAGAGAATCATTGAGGGAAGAATGGGCGAGCAGTTCTGCAACGCTTTGTGCCAAGTTCATGGTCGGTTAGAATGTTGAGTGATGAGGTTCGTTTATTCAACAGAGGTACACGTAGTCATTTCCTATCTTATGTATATAGACATCACAGGTTAATAAGCAGCAGGAAAACTGCGTCCGATTCCGTCCCCACTGTTTGTCGGTTACCAAGACGGTGTTACAATTCGGCCTTGGAGTCTCTATGGATTACCATGTCTTCGGCTTACATGCGTGGAGACAAGGTACGTAGTACCTCTGGCCCATACACATTCTTTACCTTTCACTTAAGTAAATGCGTACTGATGGAATATATACCATTTCCAATGTTGGCATTAGACACTGAATCGGTTTACTACTGTGTTTACCTGGTACTATCATTGACTAGCCATAGGGTAAAGCCTATCGACTATCGGTCGACCGATAAATCGGAGATAAAATTGCCCAGCCCCGATTCTTGGCCTGTGATCTGCCGATCGTCCGAGAGCACAGACACTATACCATAGGACGAACCCCCCGCCTAATTCGCAGGTTGTGAAAGTGATCTGCAAGAAATGCCGCGGGTCGAGATCTTTCCTTGATCCGATTGCAACTCTGCTCTAATTTGGGGAATTTCACTCTCGTCGTTCAGAGTAACGGACGGGGGGATTTCCTTGCTTACTATAGCGGAGCATCAATATTTCAGGTTCGAGCCGCCCCTATCAATGCGCTCCATAACTCGACTGTTCAATACGGGATCAAGCATTATGTAGATTGAGCATGCAAGGCATTGCATAAAGGAAGGTATTCCGACGAAACAGTGCGGGGGATGTTACTCGCAGGGGTTCATGGTGTTCCCGGAGGCGATGACATTCCCGGACGTGACGAATGCACTCAAGGTGTGGCTGGGCCAGTCTACGTGGATATACGATCGTGGAGGCCAATCGGTCATCGTATGCCGGTGTACAGGGTTACTCGTAACCCTAGGCAAAACTATTGTCGCTCGAACTCTGGTATAAGAGTAAGGCTTCTTGCACAGTAGAAGGGACGTTTGATTCAACGCGGTTTCAATCATTCTAGTACAACTCTCAAGCCCTAGATATTCTAGCACTCACATACTATCGACGTCACGAAGGTAAAAGCAACAGTAGTCCGCTTCTCCCATAGCAAGACTCGTGGCTCGACACTATGTACACCTGTTGAATAGTATCTCCCTAGGTGAATAGAGCAATACAGTGCTTTTGTACCTACAACCTCGCCTTTCTCACACCCTCTTCCAACATCTCCTCTACCGCAATCTCACTCGTCATCAAAATACACGTATCCTTCAAACTCGGCACACGATGTCTCTTGTTAACCGCCTGATACTCCTCACTAACCAGCATATCCCTAAAATGCAGTATACTGGGATAATGCGCCAGTGCAATCTCATCCCAATCATCGTTGCCGGTAGGACTTGTGGACGTTCTGTTAACGGCTTCGCCATTGACGTGTGTGACATTTCCGACAATTTTAGCGTTACCGCCATGCCTCGAGCCAATGGAACGTGCAAACGCAGTACCGTACTTGAGATACTCTTGTTTCATACCAGAATTGAAAGCAAGTAGATTGAACATTGATACCGCGCCTTTTGCTTCTTGAGAACCGCTGTTGATGAAAGATTGAATCCACGTGTTCAACTCGTCGCTCAATTCCAGGCTTTGACTCGATTGCGTCGTTTTCTCTTTGGCATTTTGTTGGAGCGCAGGTACAGTATGGGGATTTGGATGTAGAAGCTTGCTGTTCTTTGAGGCGAAATCGTTGATTAGGCGTGAGGGTACACCGGCTGTTACGCTCCAGTGATGCTCGATGAGGTTGGCGAGATTTGATGGCAGAATTTCCGTGGAGGGCAAGATGAGGAGGAGGTCCCAGTGGATGTTCCGAGCGAGGAGGTGTTCGGTTGAGAGCTTGGATGGGAGAATTATCCAGCGAACGACACGGGATACGACTAGTGGCGAGACGTCGGTTGCTTTGAGCGTGGAAAGAAATGCCAGGACAGAGTTTGGTGTTGCGGCATGGAGCGCCAATAAGTGCAGCGTGCAAAGAGGCATTCTGATCTATGGTTGTGATCGGCTGCGAATATTACGTGCGCAGAAGTGAGGTTCCGGTAATATAGAATTAAGAAGCTGGAGAAGACAAAGCATTTGGAGGTTGAGATGCATGACGTAAGTTCGAACGGCTTTGCCGAGGCTCATGTCATGGTGAGGAATAGCAGTAGGAATGCGAGTATGCTAGACATGTCCATCTAACAGTAAACCCAGAGCCTTCAGAATTTGAACAATTTCGACTATTCTGCAGAAGCTATATCTATACTACTTCAGAATGCGCCCTTCAGCAGCCTCCTCTGCATGCTGCCGGATACGACCAAGTATCTTGGCTTCATCATCAACAATCTCTGGCAAGAGGTCAGAGAGACTCTTTTGTTTAGGCGTCCATCCAAACAGCTTCCTAGCTCTCACAGCCTTGCAAAGGGAGTTGGTGCCCCAGAGGTAACTACCAGCTGGTCTCATTTTGTCCGCGTCTTCTTTGCTCACATTATCAATTCCCTCGTGGTTGATAAGTTTGTTCTTGAAGGCAATTTCGGCAATCTTACGCCCGATGTCACTCCAGCAGAATACTCCACTTTCTGCAAAGTAATATCCTTCCTGGTTCCAAGTGGCCTTGCCACCATCAGGCGACAAGGCTGCTGTTACAAGAGCGAGAAATACTTCGCTGAGATCTTGGACATGCACCTCGGTCCATCGATTCTTCCCCTCTCCTACGACGAAACCTTTCATTCGCTTCAATATGGCCTCAGTCATGTCGTACGCTTGCACACTGCGCTTGTTATCAGGTCCGCGTCCAGGACCATAGATGCAGGGAGGGCAAACAATGGCCGATTGGATGCTGCCTGATGATGCCTCGTGGGAGCCCAGGATAACTTTGTCGACGTTGCGATGGATAGCGGTATCCGGGAGAGAAGTGACTTCAGTAATGTTGTCCCAATCATCAAAGACCTTTTCTCGGGCAATACCGTAGGTATTTTCCTCAAAATCGGCAAATGCAAGGATGCCGGTGCCAGAGGTGTGGATGAGATATGACTTTCGCCCACTGCGAGCAAGGCCAGCAACCAATGCCTGGGCAGAAGCCAGGTGATCGCAATCAGCACAATGAAGAACAATGTCTGCATTTGACGCTTCCTCGGAAAGGAGGTCAGTGCTGTCGAGCATGCCATAAACGAGACGAGTCTTGGGGTATTGTGCAGCGACCTTGGCGCCTTTGTCGCTATTGCGGACCAGGGCGGTAATTTCGAGATCGGGGTAGGTATTTGCAATGGCATAGAGGGCATCACCTCCAATGTAGCCGGTCGCGCCGGTGCTTGAGGTTTGTCAGCAAACATCCCATGCCAGGCTTATGAGTATGGTAAATACATGAAGAGTTTCGGCATGTTGAATAGCTCTGTAGTGCTTATGTCGTATCAGGTAAGTATTGGAGGAGGAGGGTGAGTGTAGGTATTTGATGTATGTTGATGAATTCATATTGCAGTCAGGTTTATATAGCTTTCCTGAACGACGTCACCGATTCGTGGATTTGCAACATAAGCTTCTGATTGATTATCAAGCAGAGAGGAGATTGTCGACCACGAGCAATTTGCATACCTACAGCTGAGATAACGCCCTTGGTGTCTTTGTAAGATCTTGGCTTGTATGCATATCAAGTCCTTGGTGCGGGGTGATATGGACAAGGGAAGGAGATGGTATGGTAGTGTCACATGATCGCAGTGAAGTGCCCAATGGTGGTGGGGTTCACAACGCTGGTTTGTGTACACCTTGCACAATGTGCATATTATCCCGAGAAAATACCATGCAATCTGCGATGGTATGATGCAAAAATCCAAATTCTGTTTCTAGGGATTGCCATGTACCTGTTCCGCGGTCCGAGAGAATGCCGAAGGGGACGTTGGCGGGGTCGTTGGCTGCAGTGTTCATGCATAGTCACGTGATAATGTACTGCATGGAGTACTACTGTACTGTATTGTACGTACCGTACCTGGGGTTGCGCTCAAGCCACGTCCTAGCTTGAGCCACAACCGCGTCATCATGGAAGAGCGCGCAACACCACGACTTTGCTGAACGGCCACGTGAAGATTAATCAGAGCCCCTTCAAACCGCGAAGAGCAAGCACTCGCCCTCATGGACGTCATCCAAGCCGTCTCCGGCTATATCACCAAAATGGTGTCAGCCGGGGACAGTGCGGCAACTGGCACCTCCGCGGCCAAGATGAAGATCCTCCTGCTCGACAACGAGACTGTGGGTTTGTCTGCTCTGCCAGGTAGCTGCGTGGTAGAAGCTTACATGGCATAGGTTTCGATTCTATCTACAGCAACTACGCAGTCTGCCCTCCTCAACCATGAGGTCTACCTTACCGAGTACCGCTCCCCCGCGACCCGTGATGCGATACATGGCTAATGCTGCGGTAGCCGTCTGGACAACCAGAAGCGCGAGAAGATGCGACATCTTCGCTGCTTGTGCTTCGTACGGCCTTCGCCCGAGTCCATCCAGAGCCTGATTGAAGAGCTGCGGGAGCCCAAGTATGGCGAATACAATATATGTGCGTTTCCTATGCGGGGCTCAGGCCCATGGACAATTGCTGACACCAGCAGACTTTAGCAACATTATCAAGAAATCCTCCCTCGAGCGCCTTGCAGAAGCAGATGACCATGAGGTTGTGCGTGCTGTTCAGGAATATTTCGCAGACTTCCTCGTAATCAACCCCGACCTCATGTCTCTCGGCCTCGGCTTTCCCGACCACCGCATATGGAGCACCAGCCCAGATGCCTGGAACCAGGATTCTCTGCAGCGGTCGACTGAGGCTGTCATGGCACTTCTATTGGCGCTCAAGAAGAAGCCCTTGATCAGGTATCAGAAGAATAGTCTGCTTGTGAAGAAGCTAGCGACCGAGGTCCGATACCACATGACCCAAGAAGATCAGTTGTTCGACTTCCGCAAGACAGACACACCGCCCATTCTCTTGATAGTCGACCGGAGGGACGACCCCGTCACACCACTGCTGACGCAATGGACGTACCAGGCAATGGTGCATGAACTGCTCGGCATACACAACGGAAGGGTGGACCTGCGCGACGTGCCAGACATACGGCCCGAGCTCAAGGAAATCGTGCTATCGCAAGAACAAGACCCCTTTTTCAAAAAGAACATGTATCTCAACTTTGGTGACTTGGGTCAGAACGCCAAGGAGTATGTCGAGCAGTTTGCCTCGAAGCAGCAAGGGTCTCAGAAGCTCGACTCGATAGCAGATATGAAGCGCTTCATTGAAGACTTTCCAGAGTTCCGCAAGCTCTCGAGTAATGTCACAAAACACGTCACACTAGTAGGAGAGCTGAGTAGGCGGGTTGGAGAGGAGAGTCTACTGGACATTAGTGAGCTCGAGCAAAGTCTGGCATGCACAGACAACCACTCCAACGACGTCAAGTCACTACAGAAGATAATACAGGATCCTAATGTGCCGGCCAACAACAAACTACGGCTTGTTGCGATTTATGCGTTGCGGTATTCCAAGACGTCTTCCAACTCGACAGCTATGCTGCTCGATCTGCTTGCTGTTGCGGGAGGACTGTCACGGCAGCGCATCAACCTGATCACAAAGCTCATGGCGTATCACGACTCACTGCAAGTCACGACTGGGGCAGGGGGTGTCCCTGATCTGTTCCAGGCCGGTTCCTTCTTTGGTGGTGCACGAGACCGACTAAAAGGCTTAAAGGGCGTAGAGAATGTCTACACGCAGCACTCGCCCCGCTTGGAAGCGACGCTGCAGGACCTGATCAAAGGCCGCTTGAGCCAGCAAGTGTACCCATTCGTAGAGGGTGGGGGATCGACCAAGGACAAGCCGCAGGATATCATCATCTTCATGGTAGGGGGAACAACCTACGAAGAGGCCAAGATGGTGGCGCAGGTCAATGCTAGTTCGCCAGGTGTTCGTGTTGTGCTTGGAGGCACCACAGTACACAACAGCACGTCGTTCTTGGAGGAAGTCGAGGATGCTGTCGACTCGTGGCCTGAGCCGGCCCCGACATCAGCGGCGGCGCGGATCAAGCGCGAGCTGGGAAGATGATGGCACGGCGTTGGCTGCAAGCACAAGGACAATGTTGGGCTAGCTTTTGCGCGATAAAAGCAGCATGTACTATTGGGCTGGGCCGGCAAGGATCATGGCGTCTGGCGTTGAGGCGAGCGGTAGGGGGAGCAGACTTATGTATGTATGTACCTATGTATGTATGTATGCTGCATGCATGCATGTCTAGGCCGATAGCGGTGCCCAACATATGCAATCAAGCCGTTGGTTGTCCTTGTGGGCGCGCCTGATGATGTGTGCCCCGCAGCGAAGCACGCACGAGCGTGTTTGATTGCATACTTGGACAATGGCCTGGCCGGGCCATGCAGAGGGTCGGATGTAGACTACGGTGTCCATGGGTGCAACCATGGCTTGGCTGGTACCTGCATGGGCGGGCAGAAGGCGGCGAAAAGTCTGCTCTGCGTCTGTCACAGCCGAGCAGGTCAGTTGTCCGACAAGGCTGAACACGTGCAGCCAGTCCAGTGTTGAACACACGACGGCCGGGGTCTATGGCGGGCCGACTTCCGAGTCGTCTGCTCTCCATCACCTCAGCCACCCTCCCACCTCCGACCCCATGGCGCAAACATGACGATCGTGAGACATGCCAGAACAAGGACAGGTCTTGCAGTCTCGTGTGGTCCGCCGGAGGAATCCACGCCCCATCAACTCCTGTGTCGAGTGCCGCACACGTAAGTCGCGATGCTCCAAGACGCACCCCTGCCAAAACTGCACTGCCTTCGGCCGCGAATGCGTCTTCATCACCGTCCCTGAGAGCGCGGCGCGCAAGAAAGAGAGGGAGCAGCGCGAGCGCGCCCAGAGCAAGACTGCGTCCGCCGTCACCGTCCCAGACTGGACAAAGAACCTCCCCGTGCGCACCCAAAGTAGTGCAAGCGTGGCCGATGGCTACGACAACGCAAATTCCGTCGACACCACCACTCCTGGC